TTCAATTTTCATTTCCTCCACTGGAATATAAGTTCCATGAAAGATAAACTTCATCTTGTCTCACTTCCCACTGTTTCTAAGGGGCAACAAACCGTCAACTGAGAAGAAAATTTTAAAAAGTAGGTAAGATGAATAAGAAAACAAAAGCAAAAGTTACCACTTTCCACCCAAGATACCCAATGTTACCGCATTGGTACAATCCCTTCCAGTCTTAGGAAAAAATACACACACACACACACACACACACACACATAACATTTATAATGTTGTGCTCTGCTTTTATTTCTCAAGGAGTTATTTTATCATATTTTAGATTTAAGGACAAGTTGCAAAATCATACAAATTCTTTATGTCCCCCTACCCTGCTTCCTCTGAAGTTCTCATCTCATAGTGGAATGGTAAAGAACATTGATCAATTATTGAAACAGTATTGTCCACTGCACTACAAATCTTATTCAGATTTCACCAGTTTTCCATCAACATTCTTCCTCTCCCCAGGAGCCTCTCCAGATCTCGCTCAGCATTGGCTCATCTTCCTCATCTCCTCCAGGCGTTCCTGAGTATTTTCCTTGACTATCAGGACCCTGGTATTTTGATCAGTTGTTTTCATCATGTGCTTCCATGGATTTCATTTTTGACCTTTGGATTCCTAACCACTGGGTATGGTGTGAGGTATGCATCTATTTTTGTCTTTTTTCAAATGGTTACCATCATTTCAACACCATTTTATTACAGTCCACCTTAACCTCATTGACTTGAAATGCCACCATTATCATATACTAAATTTCTGCCTGTACTTGGGTTCTATTCCTAGGTTCTCCTACTCATCTTTTTGTCTATTCACAGGCCGGCACCATGTTCCTAATTGCTGAGGTTTTACATTATGGTTTTTACTTTTCATTGGTTTCATGATTTCTGCATGGTTTTGTTTTTTATATATGAACTTTAGTATAAAATGTCTAACTCTATAAAATAGTCTGGGGTGGTTTTATTAAGATTGCATTGAATTTATAAATTAGTTAGGAAGAATTAATGTATTTATATTAGGTCATCCTATCCAAGTATGGATAAGGTTTAAGTCTTATTTAGGTCTTTCAGGAGTATTCTGGCAATCTTCTTGTATGATTTTGCATCTTTCTTAATAAAGCTATTCCAAAGTACTTAATCATCTTTATTACTATTGAAAATATAGGTTTATCTACCATTAAAACTTCTCTGTTCCTTTTGTGTGTCGATTTTATATAGTTCTACTTCACTGAAAAAAAATTTTTTTCACAAAAAAAAAAAAAAAATTGGGGGGGGGGGGGCAGTGGTTAGTTTGATCATTAACTCTAGGGTATACTATCATAACAGGGTTAATTCAGTACCTCACCAGAAGGAGGCACTGAGGCTGCTGGTGCCCTCCTTCCTTAAATGAGGTTTTCTCAGCTATTTCCAGATGGGGGAGCTAAACTGCAGGCTTTTAGGGAGGCAGGCAGTAGCTATGATGCTCACCCTGTGGCACAGGATTCAGTAAATATATAGCAGGTAAGGATACAGGTGTTTCCCCCATCACCCTGACAAGACGCATGTTTTGAAAACATAACTGCAGCATCCATTGCCTTGGCTGTGGAGTACTCTACCAAAAACTTCCCCCTCCAATTTTCCAGTGAGGATGCAAGAAAGGCTGGTTGCCTCTGCAGCCAACGACAGAGTAGGGGAAGGGGCTGGAAGGAGTCAGGCAACCATTTCTGTTATTCATTTAACTCACCCCTTCCTAGTTTGTGCAGCCCTACTCCCTGCAAAGGAAGAAATAGAATTCCAGTGTCCAGGAAAGGAAACAGGACCAGTGAGGCGAGGTAATCTGCCCAAGGTCTCAGAGACAGTAACCAGGGAAACTGGGATCCCAGCTCCTGTTTGTTCTGACCCCAAAGCCCAGGCACCAGCCACAAAGTCAAGGGGCTCTCAGAAGGTAAGATTCATTGTTCACTGCTCATTTTTCTAAGCATTTCCTAAAATGAATCTGGAACTGCCAAGTTCTGCCCATCCCTGAATACAGATAAATTTGCTCTGTGAACTAGGGAAAGGGCAGGGTGTAAGGTCACTGAGACCCATGGAGAGGAAGGTCTGCCAAGAAGTGTGACACCAGATTAGCAAACCAACAGTTTATTGTGTAAGGAACCCCAGAGTCTCCTTAGTACAAAAGGTGTCAGCTACCATGGCATGAGAAGCAACCCCAGTTCTGCCTGCCCTCCCTCTTATGCTCTAGAATGCTGGGTACTGGGATCAGAGTCTCTGTGAAAAATGGGAGTATTTTTCAAAAGAAAAGAAAGGTCAGTTTCTTGTCCCATGGTCTGTAACTGCAGAAAGGTCATGCAGCACTTTTCAGAGATACAGCCCCAAAGGTCAGGCTTGGTCAGGCAGGGCCAGGTTAGAAACAGGTTGGTCAAGATATTCCCTGATTGATGTGGGAGGGTACGCATCCATGCTGCAAGGATGGGAAACGTCAGTTACTGTGGTTAACAAGTCCATTAACTGCCTCACAGCCTAGTTGTTCCAGCATGTGAGCTGAACTCACTTGTTGCTCACCAGGCCCTAGTCCAGGGCCTCACAACAACCCTGAGCAGCAATGCTCCCATTTGACAGGTAAAATAACCAGGGTTCAGGGTGAAGGGCAGGTATGCTAAGGTTTCCTTGAATTCCTGGATGTCTGATTCAAGAAAGTGTAAAGCTAGAGAGGTGGTTCTCAAAGGGGAAGTTCCTGGACCTGCAGGCTCAGTGTCTGTAAAGTTGCTAGAGAACAGATTCTCAGACCCATCCCTGATGAGCTGAATGAGAAACTGTGAAGGTGAGACCCAGCAGTCTGCATCTTAATGAGCCCTCATTTGACTGGGATATTCCAAAGTTTGAGAACCACTGAGCTAGTGATCACAACAGCCCCGTCTGGTATGCACTAGTCTTGAAGAAGTAGAGTCGAGATATATAGAAATTCAAGAGAGCTTCTGTGAAGAGCAGTAAATGCCTACACCTTCTGGATTCCATGAGATGGGCTTTATCTTCACTTCTGTTTAATGACAGCTTTGGCCAAGCTCCCATCTATGGAAACCAGAAGAATACAAAATTCACCCCAGCCTCAAGGGAGCTGTGGGATTGGGATTACTGGGGGGGCAGGGGGCTGTGCCAGCAGTCATGGGGTCTTCAGTGAGCAATCCTGTGCCACAGCAGACAGCCAGGCAACATTTTCAAGAGCCCAGCAATTATTTTAATAACTACTAAGAGTGGTTTTAATGACCACTCATCAGGGTGGACAGGCCAAGGGGATGAATGTTACTCATTCCACAGACACGTAGGCATTTGAAGTAAGGACCCACACTCCACCCCAGGGCTCAGGGAAAACGGAGGTGTCCCAGGCTTACCAATGCTCTAGGGCAGACAGGGCTTAGCAACATCTTTTACCTGCTTTGCATTTCAAATATCACTGTCCTTCCCAGATCTGATGGTAATAGTCTGGATGAGTTCTGAGGAAGAGTTTTCTGTTGGATACAGTCCCCAGACAGGGGGATCATCTCATCTAGGGAGAAGGGCTCAGAGGTAAGAGAAAGAAGCAGAAGATAAAAACTGAAAGATGAAAACAAGCTGGGTGATAGCGTTTCTCAGAGGACATTTACTCACTCATGTCACAGGAACAAGGACAAGGCGGTCTCACTCCTCCCAGAGCTATACCTAGCATGGGAGGCTGGCAGAGACCAGGGCATTACAGAAGAGAGAAGTGAGGATGAGGGGACTTGGGGCCCCAAGGGCACTAGGCACAAAGCCAGATCACGTGACCCACTCGGCGGGTGTTGACTTCCCTTCTACCTTCCCCCCACCCACGCCGAGACCTCTAGCAAAGTCCTGACATCTTAGTTCTCCCTTGGAAAGGTCATTATCTGTGTGAATGGGGAGAAGCCAGCTATGTTGCCATCTCTGGCCAGAGAAGAGCCCAGCAGCCATCTTGAACAGCTACGCTCCTGGAGAAGGGACGCCATGAACTGGGAAGTGGAACCTCCCAGAACCAGGAACAGAAAGGAAGAGCCTGGACCGTGATGACCACAAAGCCACCAACCTGGCTCTGGATCACCCGCCTACACACTTGTGTGTGTGTATGCGAAAAACATTTATATATTGTTTTTTAATCACATGATACATGAACCAAATATATTTAATGGTTCTAATTATATCTTGTACACTAAGACCAAAAAGCTTAAATGTAAATTGAACTATTTCACTAAAAACATAACTGGAAGAAGATGTATATGCGGGCTGGGGTGTGGCTCAGAGGTAGAGTGTGCGCCTAGCATGTGTGAGGCACTGGGTTCGATCCTCAGCACCACATAAAGTAAAATAAAGACATTGTGTCCACCTACGACTAAAAAATAAATACTTTTAATAAAAGAAAATGTATATGCTGTTCACGAATTTAAGTAAATATTTACAAGAGTTGGAGCATCCCAGGGATCCCCAGCCTGAGTGAGAATGGGGTGACCCCAACAAGTCTGGAATGTCACTGTCCTGGCTACTCACTCTGGCTCTTCAGGGATGACAGTCCTTGCCATGCTCCTTCGAGCTATTCCTAGAAGGGTCTAGGCAGGGACCCCAGGTCTAAGAAATAGGCCCCCTTGAGCCATAAGCCATCTGCTCTTTTCTGACCCTGGCTTGTAGAGGCATTTATAGCTACTCTGTGACCCCTGCCTGCCACAGGAGACAGCGGCTCTTGTGCTCACTGGCTCCATTCATTTAAGGTGTGATCTCTAGGCTGGGAGGTTTCTGCAACCAGCTGCACCCTCTAGAGATCACACAGCTTCCTCTCCAAGGCGTCCGGGGTGTGTGGGGGGGCGGGGGGGAGACAGGGGGATCTTTCTGGACCCATGCATACCACTTTATGAGGAAACACCATGTTTAAAAAATAAAAACATCCTGCTGGCAAAAGGATCCTACAAGGAAGTGAAGTTGCTGGCACAGGAAACACTTGAAAATTAACATCAGGGTCTAAGTCAAGGATTTATTGGTTACCATGTAGCAAGAGAAAAATCACATTTCTTCCAAAAACAGGTGCTCAAATTGAGCTGAAGGGAAAACAGTGGACTATTCATTTACAAATTCCCAAAGACAGCCCCAACCTGTCAGGATCCCTGGTAGCTAAGGTTCCTGCCTTCCCTAGTTTCCTGGTTAATCACCAGCATTTAGACTACAGGAGCTGATGGACACTGCCCACCTTGGCTGCTGTCATTTATCCTGCTGATAAAACCCAAGAATTGGTCCAAACAGGAAGGGCCAGACACTGGTGTCCTTGACCCCTTGGCACTCTGTGCGTGGACCACCAGGAGCACCTGGCACCTGTTGAGAGGCAAACAGGCTTGCCCAGGTGTCCATCATGGGGGTGGGGCACAGGCCAACAGCTGCTGTGCTTCTCCTGAGCTCCCAAAAATCCTTCCCCTGTTTGCATTCAGTCTCCTCAGTGCTCTCTGACCACCTCCCAGATGTCAGGAGCCTTTGTCCACTAACCCTGATTTTCCAGTCCAGACTGGCCCCAAAGGGAATGTTCTTCCTTTCTCTTGCTTCCCACTCAGTTCAGGAGGCAGCTGTGCCTTCAGTGCATGGCCATAGCTGGGCCAAGTTGTTTTCTGAACCAATGGAGATGGTTTCATACTCTTCTTAAGTCAAAAAGACTTAAGGCCAAAATGAGAAATTATATCCCATCTATGTATGATACATCAAAGTATATAAGTGCATTCTACTGTCATGTATAACTAATTTAAAAAAAAAAGAAAAAAGACTTAAGGCAACTTCTCTCTCTCTCCCTGGACCACAAATGGTCAGTAATTCCCAGGGCAACAAGGACAAGAGGGAGTGACAGAGCCTTGAAGCCAGGGCTGGCCCCAGCTTGGAACAGGGCAAAGTGGCCAGGCCCCCAATGCTATTTCCCTAAATGGAACTGGCAGCGGTTCAGAGAGGAGACTGAGCACTGATCATGAGATGACACGTGATTCTTCTGTGGTCATGGAAGTCCAGATGACAAGGGGATTGAGGGGTCACAGCCTCATGCTGGGAAACCACCAAACACTGGGCTCAAGTAAAAAAATGCAGTGTTGTAAAGAACTGCTGATGGTCCTTGAGAACTACTCAAACAAGACGAGGTCAGCTCCACTCACTGCCAGCTCTCCCCACAAAGTCGCAAGGGTCTGTGGCAAGGAAAGGCAGACTCTGGGGGACAGGCCTTAGGACAAAGCGGCCTAGGCTAAAAATCTGCATGGCGCCAACTCTAATGCACGTTGGCTGCGTGATCCTGGGAAGCCCCTTAACCTCTCAGCGTCAGATTCCTTGGTTGGGATATAAGGCTGCTACCTCACTCTCCTGGTGGTCTGAATGTACAGAGCCCAGGAAGACACCCAGCACACAGCAAGTGCCATCCTGAGGGCTTCAGGAGAGATGTGAGGCGACAAAAACAAACCACTGGTCCAACTTCTCATTGACCCATGATGAAGACACTGGCCAGGGAGAAAAGACCATTAGGAAAATAAATCTGGCCAGATAAAAGGCCCTCCTGAGAGTAGATTTTTCCAAACTGCTCCTAACGGCTAACTTGGTTACAGTAAGAATTTTTCCTGACGAGATCCTACAGACGTTTCCACCTATGGGCCATGCTTCCAAGTCTCTGGAGTTAATATCCGGGCCCGATTTTGTTCGAAGAGTTCTAGCATTTTCTCCATGTTGTGGTCAGCCTCAATCACCTGGAAATGAAACACAGAGGTCATGGGGCTGCACTGAGCTGGACACTGTCCTCCCTTACAGGAAGAAGGAGGTGACAGAGCGAGGCAGGGAAAGGCAGAGAAGCCAAGGTCACAGGGAGAGGGAAAGGAAGACGAGGGTCGAACATTCCCAGCTCTGGGGAAGTCTGCCCTCTGAACTAGACTTTCACCTAAGAATCTACCACAGTTGTCTGTGCAGTGAGATCAAGAATAATTTTTTTTCTTCTCATCATTTTATAAATTCCAATTTTTTAAAAGGAGAAAAACATAAACTTCTTTAAAAATCCATCAAAATAATCTCTCTTTTGCCAGCAGCAAAGGAGATGCCTGCAAGAGCCATGAGTGCCTTCGTGGTCCAAGGCCATGCATGAAAGCTCATGATCCCTTGCTGTATGTGGAGCAGCCTTCGTAGTTGTTGGCCTGCCTGAAGACATTCGGGAACAGAAAATCAGAACACAGGGGACAAACCGCGAGAAACACTGAGGGGCAGACACATCAGTGTCAGTTAGAAATGGCACATGTCAGCAAGAGAAAAGAGGGTTACTATGAAAAGCCAACTCAGGAGCTCAGAAACGGTAGTAGTCTGGGTGCACAGACTCCTCAGGGCATCACTAGGTGACAGCCCAGAACAGCAACTGATGTTCCTTCTGATGACTTAAGTCACCAAGCAATGATAAACTGAAGCTCTATGTCATCTACTAAAGAAGGAAGGTCACAGCAGAGGGACCACCATCCCAAAAGGTCCAAACCTAGGACCTGGGGTGTTTCTTTGCAGCCAATGCTGGTAAGTGACATGTTACTGCAATCACCAGTTATAAGAGCACTGGGACAGACGGTTTCTCAGGTCTGTCACTTCACATTGAAAAATGCAGACTGAGAGAGAAAGCCTTTTCTAACCGTCCACCTTCCTCCTCCCAAATCCTTGAGCTTGAAGGACCCAGCCCTTCCCCGATCTACAAAGTGGCTGACATTCCCCGGGTCACTGCTTGTGGAAGAGCCTCCTGCCCTGTGAGGGAGACGGACTTACCAAAACAGGGGCGGCGGCAGGGAAAAGGCTTCCTGTGATAAGCCACTCCTCATAAAGCTGGTGAAGAGCACCCAGGTACTCCTGCCATGGAAACACACAGTGCAGGCTGTCAGGAGAAGAGCGGGGAGCAAAGGCCCCCCACCAAGAGTCCCAGCAAGTGAAAGCTCAAGTCGCAAGGCAGTGACTTGGACAAAGGAACACGGCAACAGTCAACCTGGCTCAGGGGGCAGCAATAAACGCAGCCATGTGCTGAGTGCACGGGCCTGAGCATCAGTCAGAGCACCAGCAGCCAGCCTGCCCTGCCTCACCGGGTGAGAGGGTCCACAGCCATTCAGTGACAGCTGTCCCAGCCCTGAGCACCTCTGCATCCTCCTCTCTGGCTCGCCACCAAAAGCACTGTGACCCTCCGTTGCTGATTCCACCCCACCAGACCACTCGTCACAGAGGGATTCTCCAGACTATAAAGACCACCATCTTGGCAGAACGTCTGCTGAGATGCAACCCAAGGGGAAAGGGGACAGATGCTGACTGAAGCCACCCATGCCTCTACCCATGTGTCGCACTGTCGCTTCTCAGCCAGTGTGTGCTGGCCACCCCTGGGGACCTCCTCAAGTGCTATCCCAGAAGCTCCCAAGTAAGCCATGCAGCCACCTCTTCATCTACCACTGAGCTCTCCCTGGGTACCAGAAACCAGATTTGCCCCACAGACCTTGTCAAAAACTGTTCAATCACATGGGTAATGTTTTGTAGGGACTCCTGATAGCATTTCTTGGGAACATCTGGGTCATCACACAGAGCTGCTATGCCCCGACGTAGCATGGCCCATCTGAGGCCTGCTCCAGTGCACTCTCGACCTCCAATCACTCCTGCCTCTAGGATCTCAAAGGAGCTGCCCAAAACCATGCACCAGCCTCAACACTGGAATGTTCCTTGCTGGTCCAGGGTAAACCCAGGCTGAGCAGGGCTTCAGGAGTTGGACAGCCCTTTTAGGGCACCCAGTCCAGTCATCCTGAATTCACAGCTCCCACTAAATGCTTGCCCAGCCTCTGTGTATCTGCAGGTGCAGCTGCTCACAAAAGGTGTTCAGTTCAATATTAACTGGGCAGCTACTAGGCGTCAGGACACATGCTGAGGACACAGAGGGAATAAGGGTTTTTTAAGGGTTGGGAAACAAAGGCATAAACAAATACTATCAGTATGTCCTCCTATGGGCTGTGGTTGCAGTAAGCCTATGGGCAGGGAGAATACGATGGGGGAAGTTCAGGGAAGGCTTGCTGAAGGACAGGACATCTGAGAAGAACTTGAAAGGCAAAGGAAAACATTCTGTAAAGGTACACTTGCCTAATCGTGGTGTGTATGTGTGTGCCTGGCACACGTCCCTAGTCACAACCCGTTCCTTGTGGTCAGAGCATGGAAAGCAGAAGTGGAGGGAGACAACACCAGAGAGGCAAATGGGGCAGGGTGATGTGAGATCTCATGTACTGTGCTCCAAAGCAGGGACTTCTAGACAGCAGTGACACCTTGGAGGAGCTCAGGCTAGGGAATCACATGAATAGGGTCCTGTTATTGGAAATATCACCCATGTAGCAGCCTGGAGGCTGATTTTAGAGGGAGATGTGGGGAGTGAAGACCCAGGGAAGGAGAATAGTCCAAACCTGTTATAATGGCCCAATTAGAGTTGCCATGGCCCGAGGCCAGATCCCAGAAGGGCAAAGCATCCCTGTACTAAGCGAGCACCACCAAGCACTGAGCACTATTTCCATCAGGCATTGTGTTAGGCACTGGATGCAGCAGGGAGCAAAAGGCTCGGTCCTGTCCTCCCCAAACTCATATTCTAGTGAGGATCCAGAGAGCACAGAGCCAGGCAACCCTCAGCAGGCTGATGGGAAAGCCCTGGGCTTGCCACAGCAGGAAGGAGAGGGAGGTGTCAAGGACCAAATGAAGCAGCTCTGAATCTCCAAAAGCTCCAGCCACAGAGGAAGTCAGAGCTCACCCCCTCCCTAATCTGTTCCTGTTCCTGTTTATCTCTCAGCAGACAACTGCACAATGATATCACAGGAGGTGGGCCAGGGAGAGGGAGCCAGGCTGCCATGGAGGTCTCTGCTCTCTTACCAGCGGAATGACCTTCTCCTCTTGCCTGCACCTCTTCTTTAATCTCTCATAACAGGTCTCAGGAGTGGTCCGGAGATAAACTGAGGACAAAAAACATACATGGCTTTGATTGCTCTGCTCATGGCTTGGGAGCAAGACAAGGGAGGGGGAAGGAAGCACACAGGTCAGGTGGAAAGGAACTATCACCTCCCTGAGCCAGACACAGACGAGAGCCAGCTCTCAGCTTTGCCACTGGCCAGCTGTGTAACCAAAGAGGCACCTTGACCCTCATTCCCCCAATTCTGTTCCCTTTCCCTGTCATCAGCCCCAAAGGGTTACTGTGAGCTGAATATAATTCTATCTACAAACAGAGCTTGGCACAGGACCTGGCACAAGGCAGGCCTCAGTAAATGTCCAGCTTCTGTCCCTCCCTCTCTTCACAACCCAGAAAATCCGTGAAATCACAATGGATCCAGGTCTGAAAGCAACTGACCAAGGGGAGGACAGCTTAAGGAACCAAGGGTCAGATTCTTCTCCATGAGCAACCAGAAGCCCCCAGATTCTGTCTGCTCTTTGAGAGGAAGAAGGCTAAATAAATATAGGGAGAAAAAAAAAAAATCACCATTGGCCAGCGCCCCATCCCCCACCAAGCACATCCTCACTGGGCCCAGGGGAATGGACAGGCCAGAAGGCGGGGGAGGGGCTGTCTTACCTATCAGATCAACGGACACATCAATGTTCCTCACGATCCAGTCAAACCATTCAGAGAGAATCACATAGTCCACTTCGGGCATCTTCCCACTGGAGCAAGAGTTGCATTGGTTTTATTCACCCATGAGAAAGTTTCTGGGCTGTGTGCCATTTCCCCCAAAACGATCTGGGGATGGCTTTTGTTGAAAGGGTGTCACCAAGAACAATGGAGTCCGCAAAATGCTGAACATGAAGTGATGCTGGGACCTGGGAGCTCCTGACCTCCCATCCCCAGGGAATGGTTTGTGGTATGAGGTAGAAAAACCCCAGGAATGAAAGACGGGAGAGTCATTTGAAATTTGAGCTCCAAACAGAGAAAGTCACTTTAAAACATGCCCCCTGACAACAGAGACAGCATTCAGGCTGGGAGGTGAATAAGCATGTCAATTTCACTCCTAGAAATTTATTTTGTGAAAATAATCATGGTGCTCACTGCCGCACTATTTAAAATAATGGACAACTAAATCTTGGTTTGTCTATATAAATAAACTGTGCAGTAACTGAAAAATGATGTTATAAAATAATATTTAATGATGTGAAAAATGCTCAGAATCCGATGTTCAATGAAAATAGCAGAATATAAAACTGCATATACAGTATGACCCAAGCAAATTTTCAAAAATATTCATCTACTGCACAGCAAAGAAAACAATCAAGAGCATGAAGAGAGAGTCTACAGAAAGGGAGAAGACCTCTGCCAGCTACTCATCTGCTAGGGAATTAATATCCAGAATATGTAAAGAACTCAAAAAGCTTAACACCAAAGAAACAAATAACCCAATTTATAAATAAGCAAAAGAACTAAATATACACTTCTCAAAAATACAAATGGCCAACAAATACATGAAAAAAATGTTCAACATCTCTAGCCATCAGGGAAATGCGAATAAAAACTACACTGAGATTTCATCTCAGTCCAATCAGGATGATAATTATTAAGAATACAAATAAAAATAAACTCTGAGGAGGATGTGGGGGGGGAAGTACACTCACTCATTGTTGGTAGGACTATAAATTAGTACAACCACTATGGAAAGCAGTATGGAGAGTCCTCAAAAAACTAGGAATGGAACTACCGTATGACCCAGCTATCCCACTCGTTGGTATTTATCCAAAAGATCTAAAATCAGCACACTATAGGGACAGTCATATCAATATTTACAGCAGCACAATTCATAACAGCCAGGCTATGGAACCAGCCCAGATGCCCATTAACAGGTAAATGCATAAAGAAAACGGGCAGAAATGCCCATCTAGCTGTAGTATATAAAACAGGGTATATAAAATACCCAATGGAGTTTTACTCAGCCATAAAGAAGAATGAAATTATGGCATTTGCTAGTAAATTGGATGGAACTGGAGAACATCATGCTAAATGAAATAAGCCAGATGCAGAAAGTTAAGGGTGGAATGTTTTCTCTCATGTGTAGAAGCTACACCAAAATAAGTAAAAATAAAGGGTAGAGGAAATCCCGTGAAAACAGAAGAAAGATGAGTGAAGTAGAGGAAGGGGATTGAGGGAGAGGAAGGAGGGATGGGGAAAAGGAAGAACAGTGGAACGAAATAACCAAACTCCCATTTACACACACCCCCACACAGAGAATTTCACCTTTATGTATATTATAATGCACTGTTTTTTAAAAAAACTATAAATAAATAGAAGACTGGTAGAACAAAGGAAAGGGAACAGGAGGAGGGAGGAGAGGAGGGAAAGGGGAAGTACAGGGGACTGAACTGGAACAAATTATATTCCATGCTTGTAAGACTATTTCAAAATGAACCAATATTATGCATAACTACATTAGTTTAAAAATTTTAAAACAATTGGAAAGAAAAATACCAAAAGGTTAACAGGGTTTTGCTCTGAACTGTGGAACTATGGGAGACTTCTATTGTTTTTCTTATATCTGTCTGCATTTTCCAAATTTTAACAATATATTCTCAAATCAGGAAGTAGGGGTGGGAGCATTATTACAAATTTTAAATAAATGTTAACCTAAAAGGAAAGAAAAGCAACAAAAAAGGGAAAGAAGAAAAAGCCAAGGAGTGGGAAAGAGACCTTGTCATCTGCTCCTGGAATTCCCACAGTGTCCTCTGCCCAAGAGGACACAGACAGGGAAGGGACAGGAGTGGTAGCCACTGAAGGTCACAAGCCCAGCAGTAGTCAGGGGTTCCTGAAGGTCCAGGAGAAGAATTCCTACCCTTGCACCCCTCCACCAGTGGAGTGTAGACTTGCTAAGTGTGGGACCCACACAGCCCTAGGTGTGGCAAGGCTGGCCACGGGGAGAGTGGACACACCCAGGCAGTGAGGGGCACTTCTGACTGAAGGAGGATGAAGGTCCTGGCAGGTCATGGTAAGGGCTGGCCCTGCCCAGCCATGGACCACTCCAGTCCTGTGGGGTGATGACAGAGGAGGTTAAGAAGCTGGGAAAGGTTTAAGGGAGGTGCTCCAGGAGAGTAGGGCATAAGCAGCCCTGCCTTGGGGACCAAATGGCAGGGCCTGGCAGAGACTAGAGAAGAGCATTCTTCCCTTGTCCCTAAGATGACCTTCATGCCCTCTAAGGAGCAGAGCTGAGCTTGACAGAGCTGCAGGAGGGTGTGGTACCCAAGAGAAGAGCAAGGCCAGCCATGAGCAGACTTCAGTAAGGATACTAGAGCAGGTGAACATACAGGGAGTTGGCGCCAGAGGAAGAGTGACCACAAAGAAAGCCCAAATTCTATTCTTCCTCCCATTCATCCCTTTAGCTCTGGCCCAAAATATTTTTCACTCAAGAGAAAAGAACTCTGGCCTACAACTGCCTGACTCCAGGCCTAGGAATAAACCCAGAAAACTTTAAAACAAAGATAACAAAACCCCAACCACCAAAACCTGAGGCAACAAATGTGAAATGACGAAACCACAGGCCAGGTGCAGGAAACAGGAAATCCTGCACAGTGAGCCTTGGGTCCTGAAGACGGCTTTCAGGGCTGGCTTTCGCTCTCATGACGCCCAAGGTCCAGAGAGGCCCCAAGGAAGCCAGAGGGCAGCACCCCTGGGGGAAAGGGCAGAGGCACAGAGACAGCAGACTCTCTGTAGACCACAGGGCTGCTGGCTGCTGCAGCATGATAGCTCATGCTGAACTTACTCCTCAGAGCATGATCCCAAAGGGAGGATGATGAGCACGAGAGACGAGTGCCCCAGGGACCATCCAGGCCAGCCAGTCCCCAGATGTCCAACTGAGCCCTGTCAAGGTAAGACGGCCACCCAGCAGACCACCCTCGCTGGCCTGGTAACAAAGGCAGGTAGCTGTGGCCACAGAGGGATGGGGTCATTTGTTAACAGCATTACTGTGGCAACATAACTGGCACCACCCAGCCGGCGCTCCACATCTGTCAACTAAATGAACAAGTTACAATCTCCTTTCAAAAAGTCAATGGTATAACAAAGTATCAATAATGCAAACTATGGTACCTTCGATAGAGGTTTTCCACAAAAATGTATCTTGCACTGTGAAGTGACCTCTCCATCAGTCGAACAGGCATCATCTAAAGGGGGAAAAAGGTGACTTGCTAACTCAGGCAAAGAGGAGGGGGTCAGAAGACCTTGAAAAACTTGTACCCAGCCCCAGTCACATCCCCCAACTTTGCTGAACATAAAAATCAAGAGGTCCGCCCACACACATCCCACCCCAAGCTGCCAGGACAGCCTGGAAAGGGGGACTGAGGGCTCAACAGCAGCAGCCTCTTTTGTTGTTGTTGTTGTTCTTTTTAGTTATACATGACAGTAGAGTGTATTTTGACGTATCATATATACATAGAGCATAACTTCCCATTTGTGACTGTACATGATATGCAGTTACACTGGTCGTGTATTCAGATATGAACATGGGAAAGTTATGTCCAATTCATTCTATTGTCCTTTCCATTCCCATGCCCCCAACCTTCCCCCCACTCCACCTGGTCTGATCCAGTGAACCTCCTCTCCGCCCTGTACCATCACCTATTATGGGTTAGTATCCGCATATCAGAGAGAACATTCAGCCTTTAGATTTGGGGGATTGTCTTATCTCACTTAGCATAATATTCTCCAGTTCCATCCATTTACTGACAAGTGCCATAATTTCATTTTTCTTTATGACTGAGTGATATTTCATTATGCATATATATCACATTTTCTTTATCCATTCATCTGCTGAAGGGCACCTCGGTTGGTTCCATGACTTAGCTATTGTGAATTGAAAGTAGCAGCCTCTTTTGATAGGAAACTCAACTAGAAGGTGGGGAGGTACTGGAAAAACTGCCACATGCCATCTCTCGAAGCATGATATAGTGACTAAGGACCTAAATAAGATGGATCTGGTTAAGCAAAGGACCTGTGTGAATGAGGTAGAGCCCCCAGGGGGCTGGAGTGGGGGCGGCATTCTGGAGCTCTGCCTGTGGAAACTGGGAAGGGCTGTGCCTGGCAGGGAAGGGAATGACCAGACATCACAGAGCACTCAACGCACAACCTTTCCCTTTGTCCACACCGTCCCTTCAGGAAGCAGGAGAGGCCCTTACCTTTGATGCCAAGTGGACAAACACTGTTTTCACTTGTCATGGCCCATGACACCCATGGGCCCTTGGCCAGCAAATCAAAGACACATTCAAAGCTGAAACTAGGGAATCACCTATGCCTTCTCCCTGCTTGTCTCTCTTTCCCTCCATCCTCTCTGAACTTGCAGCACTGCTGCCCATCTTCCCCTGGCTCCCCATTTAGTCACCTCTCTCCTTCTGCTCATTCTCCCTAGTCTGTCCAGTTTTTTCTGTCTCTGGACAGACTTAGCAGATTGCCACCTGTGTCTCATTACATTCTTATATTATTATATACAATTTGAGTTTGCAATTGAGTGCCTACTTGGGAAAAGTGGGATAAGCCAAGGGGAAAAGCACTGACTACATTTCCTCTGATTTGACAACTGGGAAGAAGCTCATAGTTGTCAAAAAGGTTCTGCTTATATCTTCCAATTTTAAGAAACAGATCAGTTAGACATGGTGGTGCATGCCTTTAATCTCACCAAACTTCAAGGTCAGCCTGGGCCTTATTAGTGAGATGCTGTCTTAAAATAAAACAAAAAGAGTCATGGACATAGCTCAATAATACAAAGCTTACCTAGTATGTACAAGACCCTGAGTTCAATCCCCAGTACCACACACACCAAAAAAATAAAAATAAAATAGAAGGTGCAGATCTCTGTCAATAGAAGAATGATAACTATACCTGACAGTACCCTGATCTAGATCAAACTGCCCAGCCCAGTCACTGTACTAACATAACTGGCTCTGGGGATATCTTGTCCCCTTCATGGACAGCCTCTAACACTGATATCTCAGGTTGTGCTGATAGCTTTGACCCACAGGTGTCAATCAGGGTCTCCCAATCCACCCTATTTTCTAAGAGAATCTACCCCTAGTCAGGTCCCTGCTGATAGAGGGCCTTAAGCAACCTACTTGTTCTGTGCTCTTGCCCCAACACCTGACTAAAGACCATTTGACCCATGCTAAAATAATCAGATCCTTTCCCTCAAGAATCTGAACTAAAAGCCAGACCCTACGAAGGTTAGATCAGTGCAACATAAAGCATGCATTCCAAACATATGGGTGGCTTGATAAAATACAGATTTCTGGGTTTCATCCTCAGAATTTCTGATTCAGCAGATCTGGGATGGGACCAGAAAAATGTGCATTTCTAACAAGTTCCCAGGTAATGGTGCTGCTGCCGGTCCAGGAACCACACTTTGAGAAGTGAATTAAATGCTGTTGAGTCCAGTAGTGGACCCACTAGATCATGCAAAGTGTGACCTCAGGATGGCACAGGGGCAGCCATCCTGAGGTCACAAGTTGGTGGGTGGAGGATCCTGATGGTTGGTCTTCAGAAAGCTACAGGGACAGAAAACCTTGCCCCAGGCAGAGAAAGCTATGCAGCACTAAAGATCCAGCTGGGCTTCCTTGTGAGAGTTCCTTTCTGGCAATCACATACCTCTACTTTGAAGAAAATTTTGTTTGACAAGGTTGGAACTGAGTGTGTGAAACATACCTGAGGACAAGTGTGCCGGTCCAACATGGTAAGCTGCACGTATGTCTGCAGTGTGAGACCCCATCGACAGGCATCTTGGTACATCAGACCCTGCAAAAAGCAGAATGCAACACATTACATCAAAGTGGCATCTATAGGACCCTGGTCTACCAGTCACTGAAAGTCATCTCAAAAATCTACATGGGGCCGGACAGGGGCCAAAAGGAATCCAGTTATGGTCACAGTCTGGAGAATAGGGTGGACAAAGACACTAAAGCAATTACAGAACAGCTAGTAATAGCTGGGCTGGGATGTTCCCTAGGGAACATGCATTCAGTCGCTCAATATATGTTCTTTGAGTCCCCTGTAGTCTGTTCTCCATCCAACAGCCAAAATGAGCCTATTCCCAACACCTCCCTACTCAAGAATCTTCCAGGGACTTCATGTTGCATTCAGAATGAAATCCAAACTCTCATCATGGCTCCTGGGGGCCTAGAGAATCACTGCTATCCTCTTTCAGCTCCTACCATTTTTCCTCTAGCCAGTCAGCTTCCACTGCATGAACTTCTTAGTGTTCTGCAAACATGACCATCTCAGGGACTTTGCACCTGCCATTCTTCCTTTGGAACACTCTTCCTCCAGGTGACTACCCCTTCCCTTATGTTTAGGTCTCTGCTCAAATGTCAGCCTTATCAGAAATGTGTTTCCCTGGCTTTGCCATCTGACAGAGAAGTTCACCCACCCCAAATCTCTCAGTGGCCTGCAGACACAAGACACGTCACACTTCATAGTCTGCTCACTAATAATCTTATTCTACTCATTTATTTATTTTTAAAACTTTTGTGATACAAACTCATGACACTCCAGTACTCTAAGCAGAAAACCGCAGACCCTCCTAACTGCAGATGAAAGAAAGTCTCAGAAAAGTCAGGAGCCAGACAACTGCAGCAACAGACACCTTTCTGCAACAGAGAGCCAATCAGAGTGATGAACCAACACTTCTCACAGCACTGATCTTGCTCATCTGTCCAGAATGGAAACTTGTGTACAACTATATAATCATGTTGTTATTTCTTATTATAATACTCTCACTGAAAATGCTATTTGTACCAAGGACACCCTGCCCTGAGACTATGATTCTGCCCTGTGATGTATCCCCTGTAATCTGCAACTCAAGCTGTCTTACTTTATAATCAAGCACTGGTCCTCCCTGACTTCTAGAGAATATGAATGTTTCTGAAGGTTCTTTGTTACACACAAAGATGACTGGCATTCCAGCTTCTCCCACATGCACACAGGTGAAATTCTTTTCCATCTCTGTGGGATTCTTTATTCAAAGACTCTGACAGCTTTTGCCTTATTTAAATAACATCTTTTCACCTCTTTGGTTTTCTTCATGGCTCCTATCACCACCCACTACATTCTGTATTTGACTGTCTCCTACCTCCCCACTCTGAAATATTGGGCCAGGAGAACAGGGGCTTTGAAGTGGGGGGATGCAATAAATATTGGCTGTATGAATGAATGATCACGCACCTATTAAGGGCTAGGCAGTGTAACTATGTTCTAATAAATAACAGTGACAAAACAGACACTGGCCCTGCCTGCAGTAGAACCCAGGGTCTAATGAACCAGACAAGGAAATGTCCTGCATTGCTAAAAAGGAAGGGAAAGAACAGGCTTCCAAGTCTAAGGTTCAAACCTACATAGTCAATATGCCACTGTGTGACCTTGGACAATCTATTTCAGCTTCAGTTTTCTCGGCTAAAAAATGAAACTCATTATCCCTGTCATGAAGTGGAAGCCCAGAACCAACATCCCCTTCTCAAGCCCTCTCAGGTAGGACCCAAATTCTAGCTATCTCTTACAAGCAGGCAGAGTACAACCTTCTGAATACGGAAGGAGGAAGGGGAACATGCACACCATAGACTCTGCTTTCTAGGTCCATCTGGGAGAGCAGACAGGTGGCTTCAGGGTGAGCCAGAGCACACCATTACCAGATGTTGCCAAACACAAACTCAAATCAGGGTTCACCAAGGAACCTGGTCACTTAGAAGCAGGTCCTGGAAGTGGGGTGGGGAGGGGTAGGTCCAAAGAGACTTGGCTTCTAACAGCCACTTCAGATAGGAAGTTCCTGGGCTCTGTGCACACCCACCGGGGCCTCAGAGATCTTTAAACTTAGAAAACCAACATGCCACCATTTTCTGCTTGTTCCTCCTGTTCTCCTCCAACTCGGCTAACAGCTGTAACAGGCTCAAGTGTCAGCATCACCACTCCCAGGCACTGAAGGGGAAGCTGGCAGTTTGTACGAGAAATAAGCCACTCACCAGGGGATTATGGCCACGGACATTTCTCCACTTGGACACGGGCTCCATTAACACCTGGAAAGAAAGAAAAGATCACATCAGAGCTGCTGTTCCCTAGTTCTGAGCTTTGTGAGAGCATGTAAGTCTGAAAGGAGAGTCAGCACTGTCAAGATTTGGGTGGCTGGGGGAAGACAAAACAGCTAAGCAACCTTCTCTCAGGCCACAACTCCATCCAGATGCCTCCTCCTGTAACTTCCAGACAGGATCTGAGAACAACCAAGATCAGCTGATATCTGAAGGGTGAGTGGTCCTCCTAATGTCAACCAAGCTCTTCATGCCACAGAAGAAACAAACAAGGTTATGGTCCTGCAGCCAGAGAGTTTGAGCTGGGACCTGACCGTCCACATACTAGTCACGTATATCAATCAAGGTTCTCTAGAGAGACAGGCCAATAGATAAATATAAAATTACAACATGAGAGAAATTAATTAGGGAAATTGGCTCAGGTGATTATGGAGGCTGAGAACTGTGTCACACTACCCGTCGTCTCCAAGCTGGAGACCCAGGGATGCTGGTAGCGTGGCTCGGTCTAGGTCTGAAGCCCAGAACCAGAGAAGCCAATGGTGTAATTCACATTTTGAGGCTGAAGGCCCAAAATCCAGGGGCCTCTGGTCTAAGTCCTGAAGTCCCAAGGCTGGAGAACCTGGAGCTCTGATGTCCAAGATTAGGAGGAGGAGTGTCCCAGCTCTAGGAGAGGGAAAATTCTTTTCTCTTTTTTGTTCTATCTAGGTCTCTGGATAGCCAATGGCATGCTGCTGTCCACATTGAGGGTAGATCTTCCCCACTCAGTCCACCAACTCACACGCCAATCTCCTCTGAAAATACCCTCCTAGACACATCCAGAAATAATGATCTATCAGTTCTCTAGGTACAGTTGTCTCCAGTATCCCCTCACCATCACGATTCATGAAGGATATGTTCCAAGACCCCCAGTGGATGGCCTGAAACTGCAGATAGTACCAAACCCTACACATACTACTTTTTTTCCTATGCACACATACCTAAAGTTTAATTTATAAACTAGGCACAGTAACTAATATTAAAATAGAACAATGATAAGAATATACTATAATAAAATTTCCAGCATATTACTCTTGCACCTTGGAATCATCGTTAAGTAAAATAAGGGTAAATTAAACACAAGTAGTGTGATATAATTACAGCTTATCTGATAACTGAGATGGCTACTAAGTTAACAGGAGGGTAGTGTATACAATGTAGATACACCGAGAAAAAGGATGATTCACATGCTGATTGGGATGGAGTAGAATGGCATTAGATTTCAGTGAGTACTTCCCACTACAACATGCCATTTAAATCTTATAAATTGTTCATTTTTAGAATTTTCCATTTAATATTTTCAGACTGGTTGACCCCAGGTAACTAAAACCACATATAAGGGATGGGGAGACTACTATATTCTTTAATCCAGTCAAGCTGACTGCTAAAACTAGCCATCATACCATGTAAATTTATAGGCCAATTGATCATATCATTTACAACTACAGAACTACTCAGGTAAAGATTTGATCAATTAGATAATATGATGAACATTTAATGTGTGCCTGGATACAGTAGTATACTCATCAGATAAATATTAACTGTCATTGACAGTCATTGACTGGTTCCAAGGTCTTCAATGAGAATACAAGTACTTCTAAAGTGCCATTGAAAGTTATACCCCAGGTAGATGTGGGGAGTTCCCAAGACCCTCTTTTCTCCCAGGTTTGATAATCCAGGAGACAAAGCATACAAAACCCACAGCTGATTTATTACCGTGAAAAGATACAGAGCAAAATCAGCAAAAGGAAAAGGTACCTGGGGAGAAGTGAGGCATAAGGTTATAAGTGTCTTCACCCAGTGTAGTCACATAGGACTCACTTCATTCCCCCAGCAATGAGCTATCATAGCTCATTAAAAAATGTTGTCTACCAGGGAAGCTGACCTGAATCTAGGACTTCATGGCTTTCAGTGATACTCAATCAAACAGGCAAACACCGCCTGACACATGTTGGTACATACCAAAATATCAAGTTTCCAAGAAGAAAACAGACGTTCAACATAAAAAATATTGCTTGCAGAGTTTAGGCACAGAGAGCCACTCCCATCAGTTAAGAATGGTAGAAATCCTCCCAAGACCTACATTCCTATATGCTAGCCAAGGGTCAACCTTGCAAGCAGGCCTAATGACAGCAGTCTTGGACCTGCTATAGCAACGCATCTCTGCCCAGCAGCACATAAGCACAAGCAAGACCAGGGCTGTATAATGTCTATTTATCAAACCACACAAGTTTTTAATAGAAGTCAAAACAGGAAAAGGAAGGAAGGAGAGAAAAGTACTACAATGGTATGAAAATTGTAAGATCTGGGGTACAGTTTGAACATCCTATTCTGAAAATCTAAAGTCCAAAATGCTTCAAAATCCAAAATTCTCTGTGCAACAACATGATGTCATGAGTGGGAGAGTCCACACTTGACCTCACATGACAGATTACAGAATACAGACACACTAAAGATATTGCAGAAAACTACCTTCTATGTGTATAAAATGTATATAAGATGAAAAAGAATTTCGTGTTAACACTTGGGTCTCGTGCCCAAAATACTTCATTATACATATGCAAATATTCCAAATCTGAAAAAAAAAATCCCAAATATGAAACACTTTTGATCACAAGCATTTCAGATAACAGACACTTAACCTATAACAAAAAGGGGCTATAAACAGAAATGATTATACCACTAAAATCTAGAATGAGGAGGAAGGACCAGGTTCTTTGTGTAGAGATGATTCTTAAACATCTATGAGGTTATTTTTAGACACTGGGCTTTCAATGAACTAGAAATTATATTACCTGGTTATACATACCAATCCTCCCCTGCTTGGACCCTGATATCCCACATCTCACATTGTAATATTCTAACCCTACACAATAGCCTGACTTTTCTTCTTTCACATATACACTCTTTTCCTTACCACATGGTGGGAGGTCTATACCTACCCGCACTGTCCAAAACATCAGCCATGAGCCAGGTGAGTCTATTACAACTTTGAAATCTGACTACAGATGCTCCTCAATTTACAATGGAGTTATGCTCCAATAAACCTACCTCAACTTGGAACTATCCCAAGTTGAAAATGCATTTACAACTAATCTACCAACTACATACTATGAGCATCATAGTAGTTTCTACTGAATGCATACTGCTTTTACACCACTGTAAAGTCAAAAATTTTAAGTTGAACCATCATAAGTTGGGAATTATTTGTAGTCCAAACTAAGAGATGCTACTAGTGGGGCTGAGGTTGTGGCTCAGTAGTAGAGTGCTTGCTGCGAAACTATGAGGCACCAGGTTCAATCCTCAGCATCGCATAACATAAATAAATAAAAATATTGTGTCCATCTACAACTAAAAATTTAAAGAGAGAGAGAGAAAGATGCTATTAGGTATAAAATGCATACTAGATTCCAAGGATTTAGTATGATAATAGAAGGCAAAATAGCTCATTGATGATTTTATACTGATTACACGTTGACATGATAATATTTGTAATATTTTTTCTTTAAATGTTCTCTTTTTGTTTGTTGGTTTGGTTGGTTTGTTCATTTCTGCAGTGCTGGGAATTAAACCCAGGGTCATACACGTATCAGGCAAGCACTCTACACGGAACTAAATCCCCGCCTCCCGCCAGCCTTTTTTAAATGAGGCTATTAGAAATGTCAAATTAAGTACATGGCTTGCACTTGTGACTTGCATTATATTTCCACAGACAGGGTGGGCCACGCCCCCTATAAACCATCCTATCAAGGCTTTTCAAGCTCCTTAGAACCCCATGTGGATGCCTTACCTCGATGTCTGTCGTGTTGGAGAAGAACTCCAGGCATGTGGTCTTCCCACTTGCAATATTGCCCTCCACACAGACCTGGCAAAGGACAAGGTGCGTTAGAGATGGAAACTGAGTGCCTAAAAGAACATTAGGGGATAATTTCTAGGGGAGATCTTAGGTGAAGAGCATTATTGGTTCAGTCCAGGATTTCGACAGGTAAACCAAAATCCCTCCTTAAGAAATCCCCAGAGTCCCACTGTTAGCACTAACAAACAAATGTCACCCCTGTATCCCCAATGGCAGGCTCAAGTGGTCCCTCTAGACCAGACCTTCCTTTCCAGCAATTCACACACAGCTTGTCTACCCAGTCAAATCTGCCCTCACCTAGGACTGTTCAATTTTACGTGTAAGCATCCTACCTCCTCAACCAGAGTCTAATCAGTGGTTTTTAAGGTAGAGTAATACATGTTATGTTATCTAGAATCTTAATTCAAAAAAAAAAAAAAAAAAAAAAAAAAAAAAAAAGCAGTTACTGACTATAAAGTATTAGGAAAGGGGAGAAGAAAAATGAACAAGGATGTTTGTCATAGGTCAAGCCTTAAGATAGATAACATACGCCATCATCACATTTAACCTGACCAGAACCTGAAAAACATGTCCTAACATTTTTCACGGAAGAAAAAACAATGAGGCTTATAAAAAGGAAGAAGGAACAGCTTGAACCTACACCCTGCTCACACTAACTTCACCTGGGGAGGGGGTGTCATGGCAAGAGTGGGAGGGGCCACAAACAGCCTTCTGGGATCTATTAGGGATTAAGTAATAGATGGAGAAGGAGTTGGAAGTGGTGGTTTTCAGTCCTGGTGATGTGTTAGAATCATCCAGAAGTCTTTTAAAAGCTCTACAAGGAAGCCACAACCCAGACCAATCACACCACAATCTTTGAGGACAGGACCAGGACTTCAGTAACTTTTTTGAGGGGGAGGGGGCAGTGCTGAGGATTTAAACCCAGGGCCTTGTGCATGTGAGGCAAGAACTCTACCAACTGAGCCATATCCCCAGCCCAGGACCTCAGTAACTTTTAAAGCTCCCAAGGTGGTTTTAAGTGCAGGCATGATTGAGCGTCACTGGTCTGCTCAGGCACCTGCTTCTAAAGCACCAACGGAGCTTGGCTTTTTGTTTGTTTGACAGGCTTGTTTTCCATTTGGTTTCTGCAGTGCTGTGGATCAAGCCTAGGACCTCAAGAATGCTAGGCAAGTGCTCTTCCACCGAGCTACACCCCTAGCCCTAAAGGGGATTGTCAAAAATGTGGTAGTATCCAGACTGTCTGAATCATACTTTGGGTTGGAACCCTCCAACTTATTGTCCTAGAATTCTGACAAGGCTCTGCTCAGTTATGCACTGCTAGTGATAGAGGCCCAAGTGGCTCTGGTTCCAGAAGATCATAATAAGCAATGTGTGGTTCCACATATGTTAAAAAAAAAAAAAAGAAAAGAAAGAAACAGGAAGGTACTATGTAAAAGAGTAATAAAAGGGAAAAAAGTACACACACACACACACACACACAAACCAATAAGAATGAAAATACATTGTGTGACCTACATGGAAAAAAAAAAGTAAACTGTTTCTAGGGGAAAAAACAAGAAAAAAATATTATAAACTGAAATTCTCATACTATTAAGAGAAAGTCATATGCTTAACAATAGGGGTTAAGAGAGAGAGTAGGAATAGGAGAATAGGAGAGAGAGTCTGGGGGTGAAAGTGGGAAGTCTTCTCTTCATTCTTTAAATATTAAGTGACATTGAACTGGGTCCTTTAAAAAAAAAAAAAAAGTCTTTATTGAATTATTTTTCCAGTACTGGAGATTGAGCCCAGCAGCACTCTGCCACTAAGCTACAACCCCAATTCTTCTTTTTTTTTTTTTTCCAGTTTCTTTTATTGGTTCTTTTTAGATATATGAGACAAAATTCATTTTGACATAACTGTAAAAGCATGGAATATGTCTTATTCTAGCTAGAACCCCTTTCTTATGAATGTACATGATGGTGTGATTCACTACGGTGTATTCATATAAGTACATAGGAAAATTATTTTGGATTTATTGCACTCTTTCCTTTTCCTATCCTTCCTCCCTTCCCTTTACTCCCCTTTGTCTAATATCTATTAGATAATAGATATTATCTATATCTAAATATCTATTCTTCTCCTCTCCCCGCTTATTGTAGGTTAGCTTCTACATATCAGTGAAAACATTCAACCTGCCTTATTTCATTTAGCATGATAAGTCTCCAGGTCCATCATTTACCTGCAAATCTCATAATCATTCTTCTTTATGACTGAGTAATACTCCATTGTGTATATATACCATAATTTCTTTATAATTCACCTGTTGAAGGGCATCTAGATTATTTCCATAGCTATTGTGCCACCACATCCAGTTATTTTTTTCAACAGTATGATTTTTCATGGCTTATATATTCCATCACATAAGATAAGTAACAATGCATTAAATCTTACTGTTGGACGTTAAATTCCTTCTAACTGTTCTATTATAAAAATTGTAGTGTTCAATGGTTTGATATTGTAATAATGCTATGTGATAGCTGTACTATCCACTCAACACCCTCCACACCCTGAACACCTCTCCTTACCCAGCGACACCAATCAATCAGTAATGTGCCTGGGCCCTGTTTTCCACTCATCTGCAGTCAATGCCCAACCCACTTACCCCTAGCTAAAGGCCTCTGCTCTTCCTTGTTGGAGTGACCTCCTTGCCAGCCTCTCTACCTCCAGCCTCACCCCAGACAGCACTCTACCCATAGCCCGCCACTGTCTCTCCCTGAGAGGCAAACCAAATCATGTTGCACATGGATGCTATGATTTGAATGCATCCCTCAAACTTCATGTATTGGAAACTTGATCCCCAATGCAACAGTATTGAGAGGTGAGACTTTAAGAGTTGATTAGGTCATGAGGACTGCCTTCTGGAATGGATTAATGACATCACTGAAAGAGTGGGTTATTTATCACAGGAATGGGTTCCTGATGGAAGATTGAATTGGACCCCCTTCCCCAATTTCTTTCTCTTCTCCACCATCCTCTCCACCATGGGATGACACACACATGGAGCAAGAAAGCCCTATCAGAGTTGGCTCCTCTATCTTGGACTTCCCCATCTTTAGAACCACAAGTCAAACAAAATTCTGTTCATTAGAAGGTACCCAGTCTGTGGTATTCTATCATAGCAGCATAAAACAGATTGAGACAGGGATAAAATCCTTCAGTGGCTATAGATATTAGGATCTATCCCCAGTCCCTCTGCATACCCTCAAGCCCTCCCCAGCCACTCTCTAGGAACTGGCCACAAGTCCAAACCCACAGGTTCTCTTCCTTTTGTCAGTGACATATGCTGTTCCTTCTTCTCCATCCAGAAGCATCAAGGTTTCTCAAGGATCGATCGTCAGCCCCCTGCCCGCTTCCTCATAGTCCCCAGATTCTCTGCTGCTTGAGATCCACCACTGTCCTGTTTACTACGTAGCCCCCTTTAGACTGAGCTCAGGCTCCCTAATGACATGAGTTGTTTGGTTCCTAGGGTCCTCATGCAGTGTCTCCCACAAAGGACCTCACAAGACTCGAATGGTTACAGGATACCACTTTCTATGGACTTGCTACTATGTATCTGGGGACATATCAGACACCTGAAAGCACCTAGAAGAGGATCATAGCTGAATAATTAACAATAATACATAAATTCTCATCCAACCCAACTCTGTATTCCCCTCCCTTTCTATGGTGGCCACTGCCATACCTCACCCCCTCCTATAATTTCACTAAACTTTCATAAATCTCAAGCATGTCAATCATCAGCCCCCTCCCTGCAATGTCACTCCTTTCCAGGCCCTCTCCATCATCCTGAGTACACCACGGACCTGCCCACACTTTCCAGCCTCTGCAGACCCTGGCCAACATACTCATGCCACCACCAACCAAGCTACCTCTTCCCCAGCTACAGAAGCTACTGACTTCCAGCTCCCCTAAGAAACTGAGCCCATGGACTGATGGTGATTAAAACATTGTTCCTGACCCCAGTCAGCTGAAGAACCCAACATCCCTATAGATATGTTTAACTTCGGCCTCCTTTGACCTTCAGCCACACACCAGCCCCAACCCCACCCCAGAACCAGGACCTCCCCAAGACATCTGAATGACTTTGAGTCCATACCTATGGACCCTCAAGGATTCTCTCAGATCCCCTCTCCACCCACCATTCTCAGCACTAGACAATTTGAAGGAAGCAATCAGCAGATCTTTCTCTCACATCTGGGCTACCCAAGCCACAGTGAAACCAACCTTCCCCACACAGGCTGACCATTTTTCAATACTTTTACAATCAATCCTCAAGCTGCAGTCCAAATCTACCTAAAGAATATGAATACAGGGGCTGGGGCTCAGGGGTAGCACACTTGTCTGGCGTGAGACAGATACTGGGTTCCATTCTCAGCAATGCATATAAAAAAATAAAGGTCTATCAACAATGTAAAAAAAAGAATATGAATACACGTATGCTCCTATCTGTGTACACTCTAAGGAGGAACATACAAGAAACTGGTTACAGAGGTGGCCTCTGAGGGGTTCTGAGGCCCAGGGATGGAAACAGATGCTCTTATCCCTGGTGATTTTTCTATTATTTACTATGTACACATATTCCTCTATTCCCCTCCTCAAAAATAAATAAGAATTAACCTATGATAATGCGCACAAAAGAGGAACTTACCACTGATTTTTTCTCTTTTTCATTTTCTCTATCTACAAAAGAAAGGAAAACAATTTTTAAATTGACTTACTTTTTAAACAACTCACTTTTCTGTGCACTCAAATGACCACAAACAGTAATTTTTATGCTTGCTCCCTGACCTAAAAATATTTTCTATTCTTGGGCCCTTCCCTGGGTGGGTGGAGGCAGGGCACCTGGCCTACCTACTTGCGACACCGCAGAGGCTGCCTGGGTCCTGTAAGCACATCTGAGCCCCAAGTATGACCAGGTTCTTTCACTTAGGATATTATACCTTCCGGTTTTCCACTCATTTTATATCTGGGGTCTTCACAGATCGGAGTCCGACAAATGACAACGCAGAGAGGCCTGTACTGGGCCTTTGGGGAGAGCTGGCACAGGGCTTGGGTTTGGGGCCGGAAGACTCGTTCCACCCACCCGCCCCACAGGTGGTGCTGAGTCGCCTCTCAACAGCCCAAGGCCAGCGACGCCACAGCTGGCCCTAGAGGTGGCGACCATTTCGGAAGGGGTGGGTCACCGCGAGGGTGGAGGGCGCGGGGATCTAACCCACTCACCACCGCGGGCGCCTCGTCCGCCCAGGGCCGGCTTAACGCAGCTCCCCGAGGCCAAAGGACCCCCTCCCCCGACCCCGCCGAGGGTCCCAGCCCCGGCCCGAAAGTTCCAGGCGGCCCCCGCCCCCGCCCCTCGGGCTGCGTCCTCCCGGCTCTTTAAAGCCCCACTGTCCACCTGGGAGCCAGGAGCGCACCCCGCGGCCCCACCCGTTCGCCGCCGGCGCGCGACCAGGTGCTGCCAATGACCGCCCCCGCCCCTCGCCGCGGCCCGGGGGAAGTCCCGCGGCTGGGAGGAGGACGTTCGGGGTCAGGCCGGCGGGGGCTGCAGCGCGAAGCCACGGAGGTGGAGCAAAGGCACAAATTACCCGGAGGCCAGGCGCGTCGCTGCGCCCCCCGCGGCCAGACGCCCGAGGCGGGGGTCCCGGCGCCCCCAGACCCAGCGCTGCGCAGTACCCGGGCGGCCCAGCCCCGCAGCGGTCGCAGGAGCATAGCCAGCGGGCGGAGGCAGCGGCCCCGGCTTCCTTCCTGGGCCACACAGAGCGAGCGCGGCCCCGCCGCACGTCCAGCCCCGCGCGCCCCCTCCCCCGCCCGCCCGGGCGCCCTTAAAGAGACCCGGTCGCATTTCACTCTCTCCGAGAAAGGGAGAGGTCCGCGGGGAGGGATTCGCAGCTAGCAGCACGCATGACTTGGAGGATGGATAGCAGTATTCCCAGGGGGACTGATTGGTTTGTGAATTTACTGCAGATTATTGACGCCTACGCCATCCACACCTGCCACGTTCCCCTTCATGTCAGGTGGTCCTCCCCAACAACCCTGTATGTAGATACTGTCACTCCCATTCGTTATTGGAATATTGGGCAAAATGACGCTGGGTTTGATCCCCAGCACAGGCTAAAAAGTGGGGGAGCAGGTGAGTCGGAATTCAGGACAATAAATGTGCTAGATCCCTCAGGAAGGTCCTATCAGTATTCCAAATGGACAGACAAATGGGTATAGGGAGGAAACCTGTAAATCCCACCTATAGTCGGGTAACAAAAATTCAGCCCGGATCTGGGATAGACTAGGTGGTGTTTGTTTGTTTTGTGGTGCTAGGGATTGAACTGCATGCATTCATGCTAGGCAAGCACTTTACCACTGAGCTACATCCGCAACCCTAGACAAGGTATTATAATTCGACTGACCCAAGCCCAATAAATACAACTGTTGCCACCCTAGACTATATGAGAGTTTCAGTGGGTAGGTAGTTTTCCCTCTCCCCTAAGTATAGGATCCTGGCAGTCACCCTTGTGCGGGGAGAAAGAAGTCATTTTCAGTCTTAGCCTCTAGATCTGTGACCAGAAAACCACCATCCCATCTTGGGCTTCCTGCCTATCTGCTTTCTATAAATAAACTTCAAGATTAAGGTCAATATTTTTGTGAGTGATTTTATTGGCTTCATTGGAGCATTTGTGGAAAACATGGAGTATCTTAAGGACCTAAGACTGTTCTAGGTATGGAAACACTAGCATCAGTGCGAGGTAAAAGTAAAACTATGCGAACTAACAGACTTACAAACCTAGACTGTGATGCCCTGGGAACACAGATAGCATAAGAGATCCAGGCCATTAGTTCAGGCTACACAGCTACTGTTTGCCAGACCCTGCCGGGAGAGACACAGACACAGACAGGTCCTTGCTTTTGTGGGATATGTATTATTTTTTTAACTAATACACAAAAATTGTACCTATTGGGACTGGGATTGTAGCTCAGTGGTAGAGCGCTTGCCTCTTATGCATGAGGCACTGGGTTCGATCCTCAGCATCACATAAAAATCAATAAATAAAATAAAGATATTGTGTCCATCTACAACTAAATACATTTTTTAATTGTACCTATTTACCAGGAACCATATGATGTTTCAATACATATATACATTCTGTAGTGTTCACCTCTTTGTGGTGAAAACACTCAAAACCTTTTCTTTGGACTTCTTATTTTTAAGCGAAATAGTACATTATCATTCTCTGTAGTCACCATAGGGTGCCATAGAACACCAGAACTTCTTTCTCCTAACTATAACTCAGTACACATTAATCAATCTTTCCTCACAGGAATCAGCCTTATGATATCAGCTAGAGATAAAGGCTGAGGAGAGAGTGACGGTGACCACTCTGCACAAGGTGATCAAGGGAAATCTTCTCTAAGGAGGTGGCATTTGAGATGCCACAGTCTGCGGAGACACAGCAAGCATTCCTGGGTCACCCTCCCTTGCCCTACCCCAACCCTGCCAGAGCCGGCCTACTGGGAAGCTCCTGGGGAGAGTTATGGAGAGTTATGGTCCTAGGTACCAGGCAGGGCGAAGCGGGCTAACAGGAGGCGGAACCACTTTGTTGCACTCCCAGGTTGGCTTTGGGCCAGGTCCACCAAGCGGATCGCAAGGCTCCCGTTGGGCGCAGGCGCACGAATGCGAGGGCGGGGCGGGGCGGGGGGGGTTGCTGCGCACGCGCACGAGGGAGGGAAGCCCAGAGGGGCGGCGGCCGTTGAGATCCTCTGCGCGAAGCTTGGCGGGGTCGGGTGCTGCGGAGAAGGATCGAAGAAGTGCAGCTGTCAAGTCCGCTGGCGCAATGGAGACCGCCATGCAATTGAAACCAAGACATCGCCCCTTTTGCTGCAGCGTGAAAGGCCACGTGAAGATGCTGAGGCTGGTGAGGGACAAGGCTGGGGACAGGGCGCGGGGCGAAGTGAGTCAGACAGCAAGGGTGCTTAAGGGCCCGGAAGAATGGTCATTAAGTTTACAGTGGAACAACGCCACATTGGTTCCGTCAACTTTGTTTTTATCAAGGTTTCCCAACAAGTAAGGCATTTTGCTCTGCCCTCTAGGGGGAAGGAGTCATAGAGCTCTGCCCTCTCCCGAGAGGGTTGGGGATACAGTCATTAAACAAAGTCCACAGACCGACCTCAATGGCCTACTCTTGGACCCCCAAGCCTGCAGATCAGGTGACCAGGGGATGCAGTCATAGCTGTACCACTCAGAACCCAACAAGATCGGAAAGATCTTAAGGGTTTGTTAGATGCTAAGGTTACTTACTGTAAGTCAAACATTTGATGTGATGAAGCTCAAGGCTGATATTGTCCAGAGCAAGGACAAAGACGGAACTTGCCTATTTTAAGGCTTCATACTTATCAGGAGCATTGCAGACAGTTCTGGACCGTGGTTTAGAGGAAATTAATTATCATTTGGAGGGGAGTGGCTGGGCTAGTTAGAGAAGTGGAAACAATCTTAGTTGAAGGAATTCTAGAAAACTCAAGGAAAATGAAAAAAATATTGTTTTAAATTTTAAAGAGTTAACATGGGAGAGGAGGTTGAAATAGTTAAAAGTTACAAGGAAGCAGTTGCACATAGGAAAGAATTTTATATTGGCAAAAGGTTCCAAAGTTAAATTGCCACTTGGGAAGCACTCTATTCCGGGGCAACAAAGATAATATGCACAGAGGAGCACTTGGGAAGGATGTTGTAAAGCTTCAGACTTCAGGTGAGTGAATAGAACAAATTGTATATAAGATCCTTCCCACACCAAAAGTCTGAGATTCTGAGAAAAACCTATATAATAATACAAATTAGGATGCATATGAGAAGTTCAGGAACCTACATTGGAGTTTTTTTTTTTTTTTTTTTTTTAAGGAGGGGGAGGGAGAGAAGTGGGGGGGAGGGAGGGAGAGAGGTGGAGGGGGGAGGGAGACCTTTGGTTAGGAATAAATAATCAGGTGAAAAGTGACCTGAAGATCTGGAGTGTTGTGTTAGGTACCAAAAGCTCTAGAACACTGAAAGAGGAACAAGTTTCATGAGAAAAGTTTAGTTTTTGACATTATTTCCTTAAGCAAACAATCTGAATATTTAGTGTATTCCAAGTTCTGGGCTAATACCAGGGACAACAAAAATGTACCAAGACAAGTCCCTTACTCTTAGGATTCTTCAATTTAGTCAAAGAGACAGATACAGAAGCAAATAACTATATAACAGGAGATAAGGTAGAGATAGGGTACAAAGGTAAGGCATCTAACTAAGGAAATAAAGAGAAGTATTAGGAAACTTTTATAAAGCAAATTAGGGTGGGGTCTAAGAAAGAGCCACCAAGGCATGGAGAAAAAAAATATGATTTATACAGCAAATTATGAGAAGTTTTGAATGTTGCCTTATTTATTCATTCAATGGATATTTATTGAATGTATAACATCTGTCAGGCACTGTTCCTGGCCCTTGAGAGGTTTCAGTGAACAAAGTAAAAGATCCCTATCTTCATGGAGTTTACATATTGGGGTAGGAGAGCCAGAGAGACAAACACAATAAATTAATCATGTGATATTCTAGGAAGTGATAAGTGCTATGGAATAAGAGAAAATAAAACTGGGTAAGGGAGGATACAGAAGTGGGTGGAGGGGAAGGAAGTTTGAAAAGGAAGTTTGCCATAGTAAGTTAGTCCTTGTTGAGATGACATCAGAGAGTTGAGGGAGTTATGTGGAGAAGAGTGTTTAAGTCGGAGGAAAATCCAATAATGGTCCTATGGCAGGAATGTACCTAAGGGGTCGATATTGAGCAAGGTAACAAGTGTACCTTGAGTGGAGTGAGAGGAACACAGTGGAGATGAGAAGGTTTTGAGTAAAGGAGTATATAATTTGACTCATTTTTTTTCAAATATATTAACAATAAATAGTTTGATGGGAAGAGATGGGGTGGGGTGGTTGCTGGAGGGTAAAGATAGAACCAAGAAGGCCATTTAAAGCTGTTGTGGTATTCTGCACAAGAGATGATGGTGACTCAGACCAGCCACTTGGTGGCTGGTGGTAGCCGAGTAAGTAATAAGAAGTTGTCACATTTGAGTTGGGCGAGGTGGCACACGCCTGTAATCCCAGCAATTCAAGAGGCTGAGGCAGGAGGATTGAGAGTTCAAAGCCAGTCTCAGCAATTTAGAGAGGCTCTAAGCAACTCAGCGAGACCCTGTCTCAAAATAAAAAAATATTTTAAAAAGGGTTTAGTAGTTAAGCACCCCTGGGTTTAATCCCCAGTACAAAAAGAAAAAAAAAAGTAGTCACATTTGAAATATACAAGTTGAGTATCCTTTATCCAAAATGCTCGGGTCTAGAAGAGTTTCATACTTTCATATTATTCATATGTTATGAGATATCTCGGGGAAGGGACCCAAGACAAAATTCATTTGTGTTTCGTGTACCTTATGTACATAGCCTGAAGATAATTTTGTATAATAATTTAAAAAATTTTGTGCATGAAAACAAGTCTGTGCACTCCTTCAGAGATCAGTTGAGGAATTTTCTTCTTAAATTAGCAACTCAAAAAGGTTTGGATTTTGGAGAATTTTAGATTTTCAGATTAGAGATACTCAATATGTATTTTGAAAGTAGTACCTACAAGATTTGCTGATGAACTAGACACAGAGTAGGATAAAGAGAGGAATCCAAGATAACACCAAAGTTTTCTGCCTAAGCAACTAGAAAGATTCAGTTGTCATCTGCTGAGATCAGAAAGCCTATGGGTGAATCATATGTGAGAGGAAGACTAGAAGTTCAATTTCAGTGTTAAATTAGAGATACCTATTGGACATCCACGTGGAAATATTGAATAGGGAGTTGGAATAAACAAGACTGGATTTTGGTAGAGAGGTCAGGCTTCAGAAATAAAAGTATTTAAAGCAACAAGACTAATGAGTAAATCAAAAGAGCAGTATAGGTAGAGCAGAAAAGAGGACTGTGGGTTGAGCTCTGGAACATTCCAATATTCAGAGGTTGGGGAGGAGAGAAGAGACTAGCAAAGAAGAACTAGAGGGAGCAGTGGGGGGAAGGCAGGAATAGGAGAAACCAAGAGTATGGTGTCCTGGAAGCTAACTGAACACACTCTCAGGAGGGCGTGGTCAGCTGCATCAAATACTGATATTAATTCAAGTAAAATGAGGACCAAGAAGTAAACTTTGGAATTATCTTGTGGATAAGTTGTAAGACAAGTCTGCTAGAGAAGTAGACAGGAGCTAAATCACAGAAGACCTTGAATACACGATGAGAGGGAGGCTCTGTCTAAAGACCATGTTGAAGGATTTTAAGTAGGTGAGGAAATGCATACACATTTGCATTTTAGAAATTTTACTGTAGCATCTTTGGTAGTTCTAGGAAAGGATGCTGAAGAGCAGTAGTTGTAGGGATGAAGAGCAGAGAGTGACAAACAGGTTTAGGCATGAAGTCAACTCAGTTGTCAGGAGTAGGAGCAGGATCTTAGTCTTTTGGCTTGGATAACGAAGTAGATCGTAGTACCACCAACTGAGGTGATGAATAGAGGAGAGGCAAAAATGAGCTCAGTTTTGGTGAATCCAAGATTCCTGTAAATCTGGTTAGGGTTTCTGAATGTCTAAGTGTGAATTGTGGGCTTTAGAACAAGAACAGAGACTTAGATTTCACACAGTGGGATGTGGGCCAAATCCAGAGGAATGCCAGCATTTTAAAGAGGTGGATAAAAGTGGAGGAGCCCACCAAGAGAGAACAGATGCAGGAGACATAAGAATAAGGGAAAGTGACCTTTGGAGCCAGATGAACAGAGAAATAGGCCCTGGATTCCATCCTGAGTAACACAAAAGAAAGAGAAAAAGCATGTATTAAATTTAGTACTTTTGAAATCAGTGATAACAAAGTCAGTTTCCATAGAATACTGAAGAGATTTACAGGAATCTTGAATTCTCCAAAATTGAACTCATTTTTGCCTCTCCTCTAGATGTTTGAGATGTGAACAGGGTAGTTAAAAGATAACTGGAAACAAAGGCCACAAGTTTAGGAAAGTGCATCAAGGGAGAACCTGGTGAGACAGAAATCATGGAAATTGTAAGGAAGTGGGATATTACCAGTGCCAATAACCATGATACATACAATAAGGCCACAGAGGATGGGGACTGAAAAAAATGAGCCTTGATTTTATTTAATTGTTTATTTGTATACTTAACAGTATTAGGGATTGAAACCAGGGGCTCTCTACCAGTGAGCTACATCCCTTGCCCCCTTTATTTTTTTTGAAATTAGGGTCTCGCTGAGTTGCTCAGGCTGGCCTCAAACTTCTCCTGACTCAGCCTCCCCAGTCACTAGGATCATAGGCATGTACCACCACACCAGGCTTGACCTTGATTTTTATGATCCATGAATTCATTTGAGATGACACATTGCTAAAGTGAAGTAATTTAGTAATTTAGTTATTGGTAGTCAAACTAACCAATTTAGAAATTCAAAGATACTTTGGCACTAATAAAGTAATTGAAAGAATTATGAATAAGTAGCCTATGTAGGCTTAAAGTTAAAAAGAATATGTAAAATGGTACCATCTGGAAGGTATTATAAACATCTAGCCAGGGAAGACTCTTGACTAAACCACTTCCAAGAACACAAAGAGACTTTAGATAGAGCTCTATTTCCTAAGAACTTCATGGCATTGATAGAACTCCCTGGAACTCACCAACTCTTTTCCTTTAATAATTCAAATAATATTGACATATTCTCTATCTTCCTTTGGAAATGAAAAAAAAATTGAATTAGACTAATTATCTTCAGGGGTGTTTTTTCCCCACACTTAAAATGTCCTTAATTCTGTTGGCATTATGTTTAGTGAGAGAAATCATGTAAAAATGTACTTTAGTAGTACAGCCATCAAATATCAAAATGTTTTTTTCTCTGACAACACGTTTTAATCCCCACTGGTATTTTTTCATGATAACATTCCACTTAAGTTATTACTCAGCAATAAAAGAGAATAAAATCATGGCATTTGCAGGTAAATGGATGGAGTTAGAGAAGATAATGCTAAGTGAAGTTATCCAATCTCAAAAACCCAAATGCTGAATGTTTTCTTTGATATGAGGAAGCTGATTCATGAAGGGATAGGGAGGGGGAACATGGGAGGAACAGACGAACTCTAAATAGGGCAGAGGGGCTGGAGGGGAAGGGAGGAGGCATAGGGTAATTAATGATGGTGGAATATGATAATCATTATTATCCAAAGTACATATATGAGGACATGAATTGATGTGAGTATACTATGTACACAACCAGAGATGAAAAATTGAGCTCTATATATGTAATAAGAGTTGTAATGCATTCCACTGTTATATAAAAATAAATAAATAAAGTTTTAAGAAGATTCCAGATTGCCAACAGTTAAGAAATGATGAGTGAATACTAAGGAATTATAGATAGCCAGTACACAGACATTTTTGAGAAGCAAAACAAGATGTAGAAAACAGAACCGGGATTTCTATAAGGAACAAGATGAAAGGGTGTGTGTGTGTGTTTATTTTTGGAAAACACAACTTAAATTTATTAGGATATCAAGGAAAGGAGCTAGGAGAGGAAGGCAAATTAAAAGTATGAGAGGGAAAGAAGCTATTTGGTAGGAAAAGATGAAGAAAACAAATGTGGGAAACTGTAGTACCAGAAGGACAAATGAAGCCAGGCACCGAGGTGCGCCTACGATCTCAGTGACTTAAGACACTGAGGCAGAAGGATGGTAAGTTTAAAGCCACCCTCAGCAACTTAGCGAGACCTCATCTCAAAATTGAAAAAAAAGGAGTTGAGGGTGTAGTTCAGTGGTAAAGAGCCCCTGGGTACAATCCTCAGTACTGGAAAAAAAAAAGGTAAGTGGAGTAATTACTTAAAACACGAGGGCCACCCCTAATCCTCTAAAACACAAAGAGTTTCTGTATTCATACATTTTAGTCATGCTCTTATATGTATGTGTATATGACAGAAGCCTATTTATTTGATCATTGTAGAAATGATCACTTTTACGGCTTAAACTGTATTCAAAAATCATTGAGTAAAGCATGGTTTGTTTGTTTTCCTCGTAGGTAGTAACTGCGACATCGATGACCTTTTTTATCATCGCACAAGCCCCTGAACCATACATTGTCATCACTGGATTTGAAGTCACTGTTATTTTATTTTTCATAATTTTATATATATTTAGACTTGATCGAATGATGAAATGGTTATTTTGGCCTTTGCTTGTAAGTGTTCAGTTTCATCCTTAAGATTTAATTACTTTTTCCTGCCACTGTGACATATTTTAGTAAACTCTGTTGCTTGATTCTCTTATACCTTTAAGATGATCTCAGACTCAAGAAAAAGGAACTCTACCCGCTGCTCATATGCTGCGTACTGTCCTTGAGGGAGGGTCTCCAGGGGATCCTGGGCTGCCACAGAATATAAATTCTCCTCTGTGTTCCACCTACTAGTAGATGTGGCTGGCCTTTCTTTTAAGAGAATTCACTCAAATATGGGTCTTCTAAAGAAATTTATATTTAAATTTCTTTATGATCATGTTAATAAAATTATACAGCATTTTTAATCTTTACTTCCCTTTTAACTGCATGTTGATATGGCCTCAAAATTGGGGGATAGAGATGACAGCAGGTACCTAATATCTATCCTTGTTCATCCCTGGTCACTAAATGAAAAATCAAACTGTTTGGGGAAGATAAATAAAATACAGTGTTATCTTGCTTGAAAATGTCTATGGGATTTGAAAATATCTATAGTCTTTAATGCCCTTCCCATCTTTGGCTGGACAGGTAGCTGCCATGTCTTTCTCTGCTGTACTTGTCTTGGCCTCTTGGATTCCAGCGTATATCCAAGCGTATATCCAAGCTGGTAATTCCTATTGAGGAGAGAGGACGTTAGAGTTATTCTCTGACTATAAAGGGTAGCTTTTGGGACCACCTTTGAAGGCTAATGATGAGAATCTCAGGCTAATCACAAGCTAAAGAAGTCCCAAACAGGGAAAGCTGGGAAATAGATAGGCTCTTCATAGCCCCTCCCACTTGATCTACACTTCTGAGCTGAACCTGATTGGAGGGAGGTCTAGGAAAAGAGATTACAAGTCTTTTCTCAGATGACCCTCAGTAGCAGAAAGAAGTAAGCTAGATTGTCTAAGGATTTCTCAAGGAGATAAGGAACACTAGTCCACATTTGCTTAAAAGTCATATAGTCGGTCTTCCTGCTCTGCTTCTCCAGAGTTAATAAAACTGACACATTTTAGTATTTATCTCCAAATGCAATAATTTTCTGGAGCTTCCTACATGTTCAGTAATAAAATTGGAGCCCCAAATTTAACAGAATACACTGAAAAAGTAGCTTAGTAGTCTCCAAGTCTCAGGATCAAACCTTGCCAATGTTGTAATCACTTAGAAATAATGCTATATGAGCTGGGCACAGTGGCGCATGCCTGTAATCCCAGTGACTCCAGAGGCTGAGTCATGTTCAAAATCAGCCTCAGCAATTTAGCAAGGCACTTACTCAGTGAGACCCTGTCTCTAAACGAAACATAAAACAGGGCTGGGGATGTGGCTCAGTGGTTGAGCACCCCTGGGTTCAATCCTCAGTACCAAAAAAAAATAAAAGAATGAATGCTATATGAGTAGTTAAGCGACTGCTGCATTATGCTTCCCAACTTTTTCTCTGATCTTGATCTAATGAAATTATTTATTCAACAAATGATAAGCACCTGCTAATCCCACACTTTTAAATCTGTTCTCTGATAAAACAAAACACAAATCTTGCACTTGAAAAACTTTCAATGTAGTCAGAAAGCAAGATAGATGAGAACCCAGTGACTCAGGGCTTGGTAGACATACAGGATGGTGTGGAAGCATCCAGCCAGAAAAGGAGACAATCACAACAGGCTCATGAGGAAAGATTGCCTAAGCCAAAGTGGTTAGCAGCAGAGTGCTGGAAGAGAAAGGGGCTTCCTCAGAAGCAGTAACATACTCAAGGGTCTGGGTGGAAAAGAGCATGACCCTCCAGGACCTGCAGGCAGCTCTGAATGGCTTGAGTATCAGTTGTGGTCAAGAAAGCAAGCAGAGGGGGAGGCTTGAGGCAGTAGGGAGTCAGAGCATGCAAGGGCTTCTGTGCCCTGGGCTTTAACCAAAAGGCTGATGGGAGCTTTTCAAGATTTTTAAATAGAGGAATATGACAAGTTTATAGGTTACCATCATAGACACTGCCACCAGTGTCTATAGTGGCTTGAAGAGAAAAAAAAAAAAAAACGACAGGAGGTTCTCAAAGACCATTTAAAAGTCTGTCATCATAATCTAGGCATGAAAATGATAAAGGCATGAACTAAAGTTACAACTGTACCTAGAAAGGAAAGATGGGTTAATGAGGTAGGATTGATAGGACAGGGGAACGAGGTAGAATACCTGTTGTTTAAATATCTACCTGGAGAAGATATTGAGAGGAAGAATGGGCTTAAGGAAGGGTGGAGAGAGCTGTATGCAACGAGTTGGGGTGCAGAAATGTTGTTTAAGTTGTTTATGGGAAATTTAAATGGCAATGTTCACTACAGGTCTGAAGCTTAGAGGGAGGAGCTGCAGCTGGGGTTTGGAAGTCATCAACTGCTGATGGTAACTGAGCTTGGCCTGGCCAGACAGGCCTAGAGAGAGTGTGGAGGGAGCTGAAGGTAAAACTAGGTGGTGAGGAGTGGCCAGGGAAAGGCAGTGTCACAGAAGCCAAGATAGAAAAGCATTTCAAGCAGAAGGGTCACATAGAAAGAAAGAAAGGTAGGTGCTGAAATATACATATATTCCTATTCATTCACTGGCTGTATTAATAAAGAGCCCCCTAAAGGCCTTTTCCAGAGCAGTTTGCCACAAGTTAAGGGACAGAGCAGGGAAGGAAAGAAACAGTTGGACCACAGAGGCCACCAATGAGTAGAGGCAGTTTGGCCAGGGACATTGAAAGGTTGGCAACAGAATGTAGTCCCTGCAGAGTGAGAAGAGAGGCAGAACACAGCTGGAGAATTTGCCAGGGGCTCTTTAACTGCCACTCAACTGAAGGACTCTCCGGTAAAAGATTCCAGGTAACCTGTGGGCGGGAGAAAGGCAACTTTTAAGTACTTGTGCCTTAGTGATTAGAAGGGTTGTCATCTGCACTTGGATTTCTTATTGTTGCACAGTTGTAGTCCCTGACACAATCTGTAGAGCAGGTCTCCTCTCTATGTTAAGTGTCCCATAACAGAAAGCACACCAACTCAGCCAACCCAGGCCTTGGAGGCTCAAAATTTCTGTGAAATCTCGATTTTTGCCATTAAGTTTACTTTCTATATATTGATGTTTTGTTTTTAATATGAAAATGTTTTTAATTTCCATTAAGGATCATTGATGTCCTGGGGCAGGTACACCACTTTTTTCCTGTGGTTCTCTGCACTCCATAGAAAACCACTTTTATCCAAAAGCCTTTTATATAGAGACCAAATTGCCCACAGGAGGAAGGGCTCCCAGGTTGAAGTAGTAATGTGGCCTTTTACCTTGAATCAAAGCAAAATATTCAGCACACGGGAAAGTTAACCTAGGATTGCCAGTTTCAATATTTCCTGCAAATGAGAACTTTCTTCCTGAGTGTCTAATCTTGTCCTACCCCACCCCCATCAAACCTTTTCCAGCTTTCTTTTGAATAACTACTTTCCTAAGTTATTAGTTATGACATTTAGTATTCCTGTCTTGATTCCCTCCTGCCTGCTTATCTGCAAACATACGTAAACCAGAATAAAGACAAAGTACTTACCCATGTTACCCATACTACATATCCATTCAAAATTGTAAATGGCACGGTTTTTTTTTTTTTTTTCCTGTATTGGGGATTGAATCCAGGAGCCCTCTACTACTGAGCTATATCCCTAGCCCTTTTAATTTTTTTATTATATTTAATTTATTATATTTTATATTTAATTTAGCGAGACAGGGTCTCGCTAAATTGACAAGACTGACCTTATGCCTCAGGCCTTCTGAATCACTAGGATTGGTCAGGTGCCACCATGCCTGGCTAAATTGCACTTCTTAAAACACAGTTAAGAGTGAAAAGTGCTTTGTGTGGGGAATTTATTAAATGAGTGAGCTATATAAGGCAATATCATTGGCCAGCCATTGTATACAGATGTATATGGGATTCATCCTGAAAATTACCACTTTCTCTTAAGTGTTTGCTGTCTTTATTATTAGTTTCATTTTAGTAACAGAGTTGTTTGATATACAATGCAGACTACTCCACATATCTTCATACATTATTAAAAATGAGCATTATAACTTCCCAGAGTATCTACCCATTCTACCCTAAAACATATAATACATCTCATACTCTCCAGATGAGTTCTGCTTCCAGTGACATTTATGTCATGTCAAAAAGAAATAAATGCTTGATGTATTATAGGTAAAGAGAACCACTAGGTGTCATTGTAGACCAAATACTATATAGGTGTCCTTTACTGTAGCACTTTGGCTTCCTGAAAGATATATGCTAAAAAATTTAATAAAATATAATTTTCGAATTTTTTAAGGAGCTGATCCTTTGTTGTTTCTTGATGGACTATTCTGTCTCTCTCTCTCTCTCTCTCTCTCTCTCTCCCTCTCCCTCTCTCTCTCTCCTTTTTTTGTTGTGCTGGGTATCACACCACACAAGGTCTTGCACCTGCTAAGCAAGGCCTCTATATTGAGCTATACTCCTATACTTTGGTGGTCCTTTTGTAAAGCTGTTCTGTATCCTACTCTGTGTTTTTAGGATATTATCAACTCGATAGTAACAACATTATTCATGGTCATCGTATCTGTTTTGGCACTGATACCTGAAACCACAACATGGACAATCTTTGGAGGGGTAAGTAGATGTCTTCCTAGTTATTTGAAAACCAGAAGTACAGAAAACTATAATATATCCTTTGGGTTCATAAGCCAATATACGGTGCCTACTGGCTTGATATTCTGTATGAATGAATACATGCCCCGATTCTATTAACATGAAGAGATATGAGGTTCCTACACAGTCTTTATTGGTATAAAGGGCTATATCAGACTGGAAAAAGCTGGTAGAGTCAGTTTCAATATTTAGCCATGAGAAACCTGATATCAAGCAAAAGAAAAACATGATGAGGTATACAACGAGCCAAAATGCATTCTGCTGTCATATATATTAATTAGAGTAAATAAATAAATAAATTTTAAAAAAAGAAAAACAGGTCTCGTAGCTCACATTTTTTAAAGAAAAAGATACATATCACTTGTTAAGGTGAGACAGACTGTTCTGATACTTTTTCAGGTGGACTATAATAGATGTCCTTATGACAAAGGATGTGGTAGGAAGGCTTGCAATTAAAGGTTAATTTGAACACCACTTGAAGAAAAATAAATCAATTTAATCTGACTTTACCCTAGAAAACAGCCAAAATAAAAGAGTCAAGAAATTTAATTATACTTCCATCTGAGATTCTTCTGGGGTTCCAAGTCACTTGATTTCTAAGTTCTAATCTGGAGAATTGAATTACCAAGTTCTTCTCTCCTGCTTCCTTGTACTTTCACAGTATGGACCACTTAGAAGAATGGACCCCTCTTAGACAGCCATATATTTCAGAACCCATGGTTTTCACCTCCCTTTGGCCTAAGCAACCTCTGGAGGGACCAGAAATGCTAGAAATTAGGCAACACCATAACAGCAGTTTCCCCTAATTGCTTTTTAAGACAATCTTATTATCCCTCTCTAATATGAAGAAAAACAGCCCAGGCATAGGACTTATATTCATTCATCTATCTACTTGTTCATTTGTTCATTCATCCCTTAAGTGCTGACCCAGTAGAGGGCTGTGCTACCCCGTACAATAGTCACTAGCCAAATGTAGCTACTCAGTACTGGAGATGTGGCTAGTCTGGATTGAGATAAGATGTAAGTATCAAATACACATTGACTTTCAAAGACTTACTAGCCTGCCCCCAAAATAATACTTCATTAATAACTTGATCATATTAACACTATGTTAGATGATAACATTTTAGATATATTGGGCTAAATAAAATATGGCAAAAAAGTCAATTTTACTTGTTTACTTTTTTAATATGGCTCTTGGAAAATCTTAATTATGTGGATTATATTGATGACTCACATAGCCCTTTTGAACGGTACTGGGCTAGAGTATGAGCCCTGTCTATCCTCAAGTTGCTCAAAGCCTTACCCAGGAGATAGACATGCACATAGCTGCATAAAAGCAGTTGGCAGTAATTCTGGGCATAGAAAAGAGGAAAAAACTGCTTCCCCCTGGCAGTGGAATTGCAGTTTACCTACAATGAGGAGAAGAAAAGGGGAAAGTTTCCAGAGGGAAGAACCAGCAATGTGCATAAATGCCAAAGTCATAAAAGGATTGACAGCAGGTACTTAGTGTGGTCAGGACCTAGGAGGCAGTGGCTTGAGACTAGGTGGAAAAGGAGACTGCAGGAGCAGGAAAATCAAATTTCCTGGTGGCTGGACAAAGCTGACCTAGTGGTATAGAGACAATAACATCTCCCTCCTCCAGCCCAGGTGCTAGCTCTCAAATAGCCATCAGAGTACCTAAAGGCCACCTCCTGTTCTATTGGTCCCTTTACCTCAATTTTTTTTTTTTTTTTTGGTACTGAGTACCCCAGGGGCACTTTACCCCTGAACTACATCCCCATTTCTTTTTTATTTTGAAACAGGGTCACACTAAGTTGCCAGAAGTCTCACTAAATTGCTGAGGATGGTCTCAAACTTTCAATCCTCCTGCCTCAGCCTCCCAAATTTTATAGGTGTGCACCACTACTCCTGGCTCAACTTTATTTTCTTAAAGCCTGTTTAGAATCTTACCCCTTAAGCAGTTGTAGCCCAGCCATTGGGAGTTCCCTGAATCATCACTCCAGTTCTCCAATTTTTTTTTTTTTTTAATCACAGTTGTAGTCCCCATGATTTAATCTTGAGCTGGCATTAGCTTTGACACTTTCTTTAGTGGTTTGACAATAGAGAAGTCAAATAATTGAACACTTGGGATAGAAATGTTGATCGATAACTAAATATGGTCTGTAGGGTTGAAAGGAATACATGCAGGAGCAAGTTGGCAGAAAGACAAGTTGGGTGTGGTAGTGCCCGGCTGTAAGCCCAACAGCTCCTAAGACTCAAGCAGGAATATCCCAAACTTGAATTCAGCCTTGGCAACTTAGCAAGAATCAGTGGTTATAGCTCAGTGGTAAAGTGCCACTGGGTTCAATTTCCAGTACAAACAACTTCACTAGTATTTCTGTTCACTTAAATTATCTTTTTCCTTTCTGTAGGCAGGAAAACTTGGTAAAGCCTTTTTCAATTTTAATTTCGAGGGCAGCAGCAGAGAGCAATCTCAGCACCCTATCAAAAGGGGAATTCCTTGGGCAGACCACTTAAAACGGGTGTGAATGACAGAAGTCAATGAGACATTGTCTTTGTTCCAGGTGTTTGGACTTATCACAGCAGTGTGCTGCCTTGCCGATGGTATCCTGCTTTACCGGAAGCTTTTGTTTAATCCAAGTGGTCCTTACCAGAAAAAGCCTGTTCATGACAGAGAAGTGTTCTAATCTTGTGTTTCTTGTTAGTTGGCAATAAGTATTAAATGTGTTTCTTTATTCCACATATTATCTGCTGTTCTTTTTGAACACTCAGTATGGGAGCTGGAGGGAGAGGTTTTCCAACCCTGTACCCAGCGGGTCTTACTAGAACTCTGTGGGAGTGCCTTGAGCCCTGGGATGGAATCTGGTTTTCCCTGCTCCTGGGTCTGTGCCAGGGAAAGAAGCATCAGGACCCCTCCAAATCGTCTCCAGAACGCTGTTCCTCCCGGGCTGGCCAGCAGCACCCAAGGGTGGGTTTGAAGAGTAGAGATACTGAGTTTCCATGCTAGGCAGCAGCATCACATCCAGGTGGCAACAAGGGTGGCAGACAGACTCAGCTTGGTGGTGCTCGCGGCAAGAGCCGGGTGCACGCGAGGAGTAGGTGTTCAGCAGCCGTTGGGTTGCGACGCTGGCTCCCAGAGAAAGCTGTGGGGTCAGTGCTGGCCTAAAGTCACAGGGCTAGCCTGACAAGGCCAAGCCTGAGGGCCCATCATGGATCCCCAGGACCCCAAACATGAGGAGCCTGCAGTACCTGCAGCGGCCCCGGGGTCCCCACAACCACCCGATCCAGCACCCTCTGCAGATCAGCCTTCTACAATCCAGCCTTCTGCATCGGTATCCAACCCTCCTGAGTCCAAGCCTGGGGTGGCCAAGCGCCCTGCGTCCAAATACCCTGCAACCAAGCGCACTAAAAGAGCCAGAGCCTTTGCTCCTTCTGGGCGTGCAGAGCGACCGTACCCTGCTCAGGGTCAAGCGCGCAGGGCGCCTGAAGATCGCCGCAAACCTACAGAACACCCTGGGACACCACAAGCCCCAAAAGAGAGTCCTGGTAAACCCCCTATGTCCAGAAGGGCGATGGTAGCTGTTCAAAAGCGTGCAGAGGGCCGAGCTAAAGTCCCGGAGACATTCAGGGACAGCGCCAAGTATTTTTGTTTCTCGCCTACTGGATTGTTGAAGATCCTGAGACTGGTGAGCCGAGAGCTGATGACCTGGCTGGGCGGGATGCAGGCCGCGAGGCCTCAGGGAGTGATGTCCAGGGGTGCCCCCTCGGGAAAGCGTCCATATCCCCTCTGCCACTCTCTTGTATCACCTTACCTTTCCTCCCCATTTCTTGCCCCTTCCACACTTAACACTTACTACTAAATTTGCCCCCTACCTCCTGCCCCTGTCTTTTATATATCTGAGCCTTCCCCTCACAACTGAAATTAGAGAAGCAATGAAGATAATAGAAAATTTGTAAGTTAGCAAACATAAATAATAGGTTTGATTAATGTAAGCATTGTCATTTGAAAGAACTATTGATAGAACTCTGACCAATATAATCCATTAAAAACTGGGCAAGAAGCAGGTGCGGTGGGCGCATGCCTGTAATCCCAATGGCTCAGGAGGTTGAGGAAGGAGGATCACAAGTTCAAAGCCAGCCTCAGAAAAAGCAAAGAGCTAGTCAACTCAGTGAGACCCTGTCTCTAAATAAAATACAAAATAGGGCTGGGGGTGTAGCTCAGTGGTTGAGTGCACCTGAGTTCAATCCCCGGTACCACCATCCTCTCCCCCCGACCAAAAAAAAAAACTGGGGAAGACAGAATATATAAAGTTAGAAAGCAGAAAGTGAAAGGATCTATAGGAGATTACAAAGCCAATGGATGTGAATAATTGGATGAAATGGTTGATCTGCTATGAAAATGTAAATTACCCAGACTGATCCCAGAATAGATAAAAATCTAAACAAATATAAACAGAAGAAAATAAGAACCTTATCAAAGTAGTACCTTCCAAAATGAACCAGGCCCAGATATTTTCACAGGTAACTCTTTCAGACTTTCATAGACTATACTTCTGATACTACTCAAACTTCTTCAAAGATTAGAGAAAGAAGAAACACTTCTGAAATGTTTTTACCAAGTCAGTTGAATACTGATGTCAAAACCTGATCAAGTTTAGAAAAATAAAACAAAGATCTCACTTGTTCCAAAGCAAAACAATAATATAAATGGGCTGGAGATGTGGGTCAGTGGTAGAGTGCTTGCTTACATACATAATGCTGGGTTAGATCCCCAGCAAGACCAATAATAGTAGTAGTAGTAGTAGTAGTAGTAGTAGTAATAATAATAATAATAATAATAAATTATTATTATTTATTAGCAGAAAATGTTAATCAGGATTTTTAAAAACCATATCACAGGAAGAAACATTAGCATGATTCAATATTAGGAATCTATTAACATAATCCACCATATTATAAGTAATATGAGATAAAATTATGAGATTAGATAAAAAATAGGGTTCGGAATACATGATAAAATTTAACATTCCTTTCTGGTTGCCACAAAGGAGGATGAGGAAAAAAAGAAGCCAGTAAAGCAGAGAGACATAGGTATTTCATCAACCTTGTAAAAATAAGCATTTCAACCCAAAAGTCAGTATCATCTTTAATTAAACAGCAGAAGTATTCCTATTAAAATGAGGAAGAAAAAGGACACCTACTAGCAACAATATTATTCAATATTTTCTCTGGAATCACTAATCATCACAATTGAGAAAAAAGAAGTAAGTAAGAACATTTGAGAAGAAGCAGCAAAATATATCATTTCTTTCAGCTGATATAATTGTAAATCTGAAAAACCCCAAATCAATTTTAGATTGTCATAATTTAGGTGACAACTGAGTTAATGAATAAAATAAAAGCTTTTCTGCAAATAACCACCTAAAATATAGAAAATATTTCTTTTCACAACAATAATCAAAAGGATCAAATACCTACAAGCAAATGAAATAAACATGAAATACCTACACAAAGAAAATGTTAAGACTACCGGGAGGAAAAAAGAAGAAACACTAAAATAAAGGGAAAGACTTTTCATTTTAATATTCTTTTTTAGTTGTAGATGGACACAATACCTTTATTTTATTTATTTTTATGTGGTGCTGAGGGTCGAACCCAGTGCCTCAACATGTGGTAGGCAAGTGCTTCATTACTGAGGTACCAGCCTATCCCCAGCCTTTTTTTTTTTTAATTCAGGTTTTATTTTTATTTATTTATTTACTTATTTTTGTGGTGCTAGGGATTGAACCCAAGACCTTGTGCATGTAAGGCAAGCACTCTACCAACTGAGCTGTATCCTCAACCCCTATCCCCAGGACTTTTGATCTTTTATCTTGATCAGGGTCTTACTAAATTGCTGAGGCTAATCTCCAGTTTGTACTCCTCTAGAGTCACTGGGATTATAGGCACGCACTGCCATGCCAGACCCATACTTGGTTCTTGATTAGGAAGACTGAGTTTTGTAATCTTTCTAAGTTAGAAGGTATGTGAAATCCCAATCAAAAGACCAGCAGGCTTAGTTTGGGAAACTTGACCAAGACAAAAATGGGAATAAACAGTCCGAAAATGAAAAACAGGAGGAAGACTGGGCCACACAGCATAGGGTGAAGTTTCTGTTTTTCTAAAAGTACTCAAAGGAGTTGGCGATTTAATGAGAACACTCAGATTCAGGTACATCTGAGAACTTAGTATATGACAAAGATTGGACTTCAGATCCATTGGAAAAACATTGGCATTTCCCAGTCCATGATGTTGAGATGACCAACAGTTGTTTGGAAAGGAAAAAAACAAAAACAAAATAAGGCTCTACTTCACTCTATCAAAATCATACATATTTACTTCACTTTTCCAGTATACGTACAGACTTCTTTCTAGAAATATAAACCTGGCAATAGTGATTAATTTTTTTTTAAAGAGAGAGTGTGAGAGAGAGAGGGAGGGAGAGATAATTTTTTATTTTTTTTTTATTTTTAAGTTTTTTTTTCGGCAGACACAACATTGTTGTTTGTATGTGGTGCTGAGGATCGAACCCAGGCCGTACTCATGCCAGGCGAGCGCGCTACCACTTGAGCCACATCCCAGCCCCAAGAGAGATAATTTTTTAATACTTACTTTTTAGTTTTCGGCGGACACAACATCTTTGTTTGTATGTGGTGCTGAGGATCGAACTCGGGCCGCACGCATGCCAGGCGAGCGCGCTACCGCTTGAGCCACATCCCCAGCCCAATAGTGATTAATTTTAAGGAAAGAGACCAGGAAACATTCAAGATGGTGGATTAGAAGAAGGTTGTAATTCCAGTTGGTCCAGGATTTGAGATTCAAGCAGTAGGAATATTGCTTCTCAGCAAGGTGGGTGGAAGAGGGAATTCACTCAAATTCGATATTAGACAATTGTCACGTCCCACAACTAAACACTCAAGGTCACTCCACGTGAACTGGGCTGGCACGAAATAATCACACAGAAGCAGAGAAATACCTTTTTCTTTGGGTCCTGTGACAGCTCCTGATTTTAGGGGTCCGTGGAAAGAGAAAGAGGAGCACGTGCTGAACCCTTTTATTGGGAAGAAGCCATTCAAATGAGGCAATGGGTAGGATTACAGGGGAATAGGTGAGTGTAGCTCAACCCCCCGACACACAGGTGATGCCTGTACCTGGAGCCACACCTTGCTATCCGGCCTGGGACAACGCCCATGTCACCACGAAATATAGTGATTGGTCAGAGCCTCGTGCTTCAGGACTGGAATCCCTGGTCATTCAGAGCAGCTCCCCACAGATAATCAGAGTGTGTTATAGACTTAAGAAATTTGCATGCCTTGAACAAAGAGCAATAAAACAGTACATTGAAGCCAAGTCAGTTGCAGCAGCAGTGGCAATACTGGTTCAACAAAGAGGGAAGGAATAGCACAGAAACAGCGGATAAAATTGGCACGGAAAACATCCATAGATCAGAAAAGCAGCCTGAACTTTACTGTTTCAAAGGATGCACAGCTAACTGGTGTTTGGAAATTGCTCTTTATTTCTCAACGGGGAGCAGAGAGCTGAGGCAGGAGCCATCTGGAGGCGACCACATTGCAGCAGCTGCTGCTGGAGCCCAGGAGAATGATCATGGCAAACATTGCCCTATTGCCCCAGCAAGTGCCTAGGGTATATTTACCGGAATGTGAGTGAAACAGGGCACAGAGAAGAGTGTACCTGGGGATTCAAGTCAGAAAAATGAAGTCAACTCCAACTCGCTTTCCCTTTGAATCTGGAGGCCCACGTGACCAGCTGAAGAAGGTCAGGAAACTGAATACACAGGAACTGAGCCTGGGAAGGCCATATTTGTGAGCAGCAGAGTGTATGAGAGCTGTGGAAGACTGCTTCCTGCCCTGAGGAGAATTCTTTGGAGGCTCCTGAGCCTCACACTCCCAGCAGAGATCAGCATCTTCCAGGCCCTAGAGGGGTGTTGATCTAATTTCTCCAGAGCAGATAACACCCACCAAAGCCCCTAAGTCCTGGTCAGACCTAAGTCCCAGTCCTGGAACCCCCCTCACAGAACTCAGCCGCAGCCTCTCCCTAGAAGTGAATTGAGCTGATATGTCCAGACAAAACTGCAATCAGCAGTATTTCTCATTCCATCCTGCCTTATGCTAGTGAGAAGGGAAGCTGAGAGCTGTTTCAATCAACTTAGGTTTTAGGCCACTCCACCTGGCAGCTCAATGAGCAAGCAACACAGAAAGAGGAAGGGGTTAAACTTTAGCCCTTGCATATCTCTGTCTCTGTCTCTGTCTCTCTCTCCCCGCCCCCGCCCCATAGTGCAAGAAGAAATGGAAAGAAGGATAATCGGACATAAGCAGCAACCATCCATCCTTGTCTACTGTTTTGACAACCTCAGTGAAGAATTCTTTCATTTTTCATTAATGGTCATTAATATTTATTTTTAGTGTTCTTGCCACACTGATTAGTTCGTAGATACACATACATATTTCTTTTTTCTTCTTAGCATTTTTTATGAGAGTTATTTTTCCTTGTCTTTTGAGGGTTAGGGTTTTGATTTGTTGATCTTGTTTTTGTTTCTCTTTGTTTCTCTTTCTCTCCTTCTTCCACTAACAACCAAATTGTCTTGTTCTCTCTTTCTCTCTCGCTTTGCTTTTCCTATTTTTATCCT